GCAGTATCTGCCGTATCATCATGATCTTGGAATGACTATTTAACTGATAACAAACCTTTAGCTGCGTCACTAGAAAATTCCTATTATTATTAACTATATATCAGCAACCTATAATTATATGTAACCAGAAGATTCCGTTTGAGACTAAGTCAACATGACATTTTACACCAATTTCATCATAGACTGTCATAAACAACACAACACTTCATAAATCACAATAATACTTAAAATGAGTTAAAAAAGCGGAAAGCATAGTGCAAATTAGTTGTTTAAAACCGTTGAGCAGGTCTGGAATCTAGACGAAACATCTATAAAGCAGAACTTCCCGCAAAAAATAAAACAGCTTACGAATTCCATAATATTTTTCTTAACATTCTCACGCTTCATGAGATCGCCTTGAGGACATTTTGTTTACTCTATTCCGATTTTCGGCATATAAAAGCATATTTCTTCTCAGTATCATGCGCTCTTCGGCAAAGATAAACAACAACAGCATATCAGATCCTATATCAATGGCGGGAGAACTGAACCACAGACCAAGTGGCGGCTTCTCCCAGGAATCTACTAAGGCCCCGTCATATATTAAACCATATATTTCAGGTTTATTAATGGTAGATCTGTTGCCTAGGGAAACTTGTTGCCCGGGCGCGATAATAATTCGCTAGCGATCGCTCGATCGCTCCAGTATATAGTCATTTGTGTTGTACAATTAAAATTGTACAATCACGAGTTTGTGCTAAACTGAAAAGTTGAAATGATTCAATTTAGTCCGTTTGACTCTTGCCCCTTCTCCGCGACCACGTCACACGACGACAACGAATCAAGGCAATTCGAAAGACTTGCTTTTTTAGCACTCTGATCCCGAAAAGTTTTTTTTGCGAATTGAATGGCACGAGATCCATGAAACTGGTACAAAAATCAAGGGGGAGTCACCAAAAGGGGCTCAAAGTCTGAGCTGACGGATGATGAGTCAGGCGGAGGAAAGGGTTTTTAGATGCTTTACGATCCCTACCAGACGTGGGACTAGGAATTCAATTATTCGAGTTATCTGAACCCAAAATATTTAGAGGATATGTTTCTTCCTTAACTGAAATATATGCTTTAACTATAAAAAAAACTTCTTGAAAAATAGTATTTCACTTGTCAGGGAAATATAACCCAGTTGGAATTTATCACCCGATAAAATATAAATATTTTAAAAAACTAGTCACCCAATTTGACTGATTTTCTTAGTTTTATAATTAAATCCCTTCGAAAAAAAGTTTAATAATCTAAGGGAAAGATATTTAAGTTTGAGTTTATAACTAACAAAATAGAGAATAAATTTCTATTACAATCTAATAAATCAGTTATAATTCACATACTTTTTTAGAAAGGCAAGAAAAATTTAAGTTATAATTTAATTTAATAATTTAATTTAGTATAACTTTTGCTAAAAAAAATTGTTAATAGAATTTATATCTGTTCAAAATTTTCCGAATTTAAAACTCCCAAAATTTTTAAAACCTTTTTTTATAATCCCAAAAAAAAACCCAAAATTCGAAACCCTTTCTTCCCGCAATATATACTTTTTATCATCCAATATTATTCCATATGCTTAAAACTAAAATTTAGTATGTACTTGCTTTCCTACCTGCATTTTCTTTGGTTTTTCAATTGACTTTCACTTCAGAGACTCGACACTTTCACTTGGAGAGTTCTAGAACTTTCGCTGAAGTTTTCGTTGACTTTGGAATACGTTTTTTTCGATTTCAATTTCACTGGCACACCACCTCCAAGACTAATAGTTCTTCAATTCGTTAAAGTTGAGTTCTCTCTCTGCGGTTCCAAGTGGAGGAGCTGCGGTTCTGCTCGAGATGTGGCGAGTGATGTACTGTGCGGCGGAAGGTTGAGCGTCCAGGCTTTTATATCGGCTTTTATGCCCGAAATCAACAAGTGGGGCTGTTGCCGCTGCTGCTGCTGCTGCGGCTCCGTCGGACGATGGACGAGGGACGACGGGACAAACGGACGTCCACTTGGACTCCACTGGGGCTTTAATAACAGTTATGGCGTCGGCACAGCCAGTGGCAGTGGTGGTGGTGGTGGTGTATCTGCCTCTGTATCCGTGCTCGTATCTGTATCTGCCGCTCGTGCTCGCATCCGAATTCGTCGGGTCTCCGGTCGGCGGTCTCCCAAAAGGGGGTGGCTCTTACTTGTTGCTCCCCGTTTGATTGATTGATTCCAAAAGCTAAAGGAAATTGCATGCAAATTTATTATTTTAAATCACATTTTTCTCATTAATATTCGCAGTTTTAGTCAAAGATTTGATGCGGCTCGCATCGGATCGCACTGGTAAATGGAAATCAAAATGAAATGCGTGCCCCAAATGCATATATGTGTTCTGGTACGGTACAGTACGGTATATATCCCCCGATCCCCCATTACCATATGGCTGCAACAGTTGCTCTGATGGGCAGGATCAATAGATGTCAGTGTGCTGTCAGCAAGTGCCCACCTTTATGGCCGCACGGAGGCTGATTATTCCGGATTTGTGCAGGTTTTAATTCGCGAATTAGTTCCATCTGCTTTCTGTTCTCAGCCGCAGACAATGGCGGACGTCACTCCTGATGTCTATAGAGAGCTATGGTGGAGCTGGAGCTGGAGCTGGTGAGATGATGATGACTCTGGATGAGCGCGTAACTGCGCCAGACCTGCTGGGGTCTCCGCTCCATCAATTGCTTGGACATTCGAGACGATATTTGCATTCCAGAGCCAGAGCCGGGCGACCAATTGCACAAAGATCCCGCCGCAGACGAAGCTGCAATTGATTTTGGTGTGGCGTCAATTGAAATGCACTTCGGAGTCTAGGAGTCGGTGGCACGGAGAGAAAAAAATTCCAGGAATCGGAATCCTCTTCAAAAATAATATATCCCTAATTGGTAATATAATTTCCCATCAAAATAGCTAATAGCTAATTGATAATTAATTGGTTATAAGTACCCATTAAAAAAAGGGACCCTAATCCCAGGCATAATGTTCCTTTCAACAATACAAACCAAAACAATTGGTGTGCCTCCAAAATCTAAGAACGAGGCACTGTGCAAAATTAATTTAATGCCTACTTCGGACTCTTATCTGTGCCCCGAAATATATATTTCTATAATATAACTATTGTATAATTCATTAAAATATATAAAAATGTCACTGAAATGTGTCACCCATTCCAAGTTCATTCGTAGTGCAAAAGATTATATTCTATTGGTATATATTGATATAATTTCAACTTACTTATACCAACAAATAAGTCATCAAGTGAGCTTATCTATTAATATATTAAATAAATTAATAACTTGGAAATAAATATACAAATTCCGTTAATCGTGATGATAAGCTTCGTTTTGGTTGTTGAAAAAGACTATTTTTAAATTATATTTTTTAATTTAGAAATAATATATTAGTTACACTTTTTATGCCAACTAAAGCTGTATATATTCATCTTTATTTTGCAGAAAATTAAAATTAAGTTCTCCAATATTTGTAGTCATTTCTCTGCGTGTGGGCCTACGTGCTCCAAGTGGCCTGCCACCGTTATATTCAAATGAAGTGGAGCTCACGCAATCACAGCCGGCAGAGCAAAGCTGGGCAGACACACTCGGGGAAAGTCATCATGGTGACCAGACCACCATAATGGTCATTCCGTTTGCCCGGGGAAGAACATCATAATGATGACAGCCGAGCTCCTTGGGACCTTGCCACCGCAGAATGGTTGACCTAGCAACAGAAGGAGCCATCGCCCGTGGAGCAGCAACAAGCAAGAATAGGGACATCAGGGACTAAAACCCCACACACCCACCAAAATCTTACATGGAAATACATACATATAGCGCTCCCTCGGAGTCGCCCACGCAGTCGCGCAGCCAATTTGGCCATCCGTCAATAGGGCTTCATTTGAATTGCCAGCTTGTCTCCAATTGATGATGGGCCGGGCCCACGCTGCTAGGTCCTTGCCATGACCCAGACCCGCCTCCTGGCTCCTCCTCCACTCCACATACATCTGCAATCAGTCAGCAGCATGGCGTAATTAAACCCGCCGCTGTCACAGTTGACATCTCGTGGCTCATTTATTGGCAGCATTGTGTTCATCTTAATCATTTCACATATATTTGTGTATTTATATTCACGCAGTCGGACTCGGGAATCGATGCACGTCTGCTGTCTAACCGGCTATGGAAAATCCCTGGATATGACACACACTCATCCTAGGAAAATGGAAATTTATATTAAACAATGGCGAACTATAAACTGCGGGAATAGGGTGTGCGGAAACCCCATTCAGGGAGAGGAGGGATTTTCATTAATAATAGTCTTTTCGATCATGCAATAAGACTTAAGATTTCACCATATAGATTTTGGGTTTTTTGTTTATTGTTTTTGAGAAATCTCTCCTATATTTATTAAAAGGGGAAATCAAACTGTTACTTAATTGATTTTGGTAGAAATATACATAGGTTTAAATTTACCCGTTGTACCATTAATAACTATGTGTAAATACCTGAATTATTTATTATTAATATTAGTTACTATATGTAAATATAAATAATATACTATAAAATATAAATAATGTTTCTGCAACATAATGACATGTTTATACGGAATTATTAATTATTATTATTATTTAATCCTAGAAAGCACAACTACAAAATATATAGCATACTTTAAGGAAAGTCATAAAGATTGGCCTATGACATAATGTTTATAAATGATTTATAAATTATAGTATATAAATTATTTATAAATTAATAAAATCGTATGAGAATTTTTATTAAAAAAGAATATATATTAAATTTGGTAAATATAATTATAAAAATATATATATAAACATATAGCACATTAATATTTATTAATCAAATCCTTATTAATGATTTACCTCATTACCATAAATTTTTTTTAGATACCCCAAAATAATATAAATTTTAGCTAAGTTATAGTTGACATTATTGTCATGTGTCATAAATTTTAAATTTCAAAATTAAGTATTCATTTACATACATTTTTACTGTCTTTCTGTTAATGTTCTCTATGGTAGCTTTTAGTGTCTTCAGAACGGGATTCCGACCAAGAGTTCCAGACAGCATAAAATAAAATACAATCGGCCCAAAATAATATACTTAAATCCAATTTAAGGTTTCTTCTGATGTTGACTACCTTAACCGAAGATCAATAGACCACGTGAAGGGGAATAAATTCTAGCACATAGCAAATATTTGATATTTCTTTAGCTCAGATCAGTTTTATTTTTATATCATGATCTCATGCGGTCTCTCTTTCTTGGCGACCACTGTAAATGAATAATTTAATGCTACCCAATCTAAAGCTTCAGATTATTTAGTACCAAAAGCTATGAGCCACTTAATCAGCTGAGCAGAAAAAAAAGCATGCCGAAAAGCTTATATTATCTTCCAAGGTTGAAGCAAAAGTATACCCAACGGAAAAAATTAGTACAACCTGTTGCATTTGACAGTGGGAAAGCTTTATGCCTGCGGAAACCAGTTAATGCCCCGCCGCCCTGCACTGGGACTCGATGAAACCCGAACTAATTGTTTATCCAATGCATTCCAGCAAACGTATTTTCTAAAGCTACCACACGCGATTGGAAATGTTCGTAAATTGTATTTATATTTTAAAATTAATTTTTAATTATTTATTCCACAACAGGCTATTCTTAACGATCAATCTATTATTTGGCAGGAGTTAGTCGTATAGAAATGTTTGGAGAGAATGAGTAGTGCCTTGATAAGGCCTATTTAAAATTTAGAAGTAACTTTCTCAAAATTCCAAAAGTATGCAAAAACGAACCACCGAATTTCTTCGGGTGTATTCACTTTGATAGCATCATCCAAAGCTTTTTATTTTCTATGCGCCACTCTCTCGGTCACAGCGGTAGTTGCCCACCGGTCGCCGCCTCTCGCAGTTGGAACCATAAATCGGCCATATAACAGAGGGATTTAGCCGGGTTTTAGTTACCAAGATAACCCAAAATCAGGTGGCACCATGAACCGAAGGCTTCCTGGAACCTTAAGGAGCTGCAGAAGGCTTCTCGTTGCACCAACGTTGACCAGAAGCCTTTCCACAACGCATAAGCTCTTTGAGCGGCAAGAGTAAGTTTGATTTGTTTTTGTGAAAGTTTTCACAATTTCTGAGAATCGAGAGAGCTTAGCAAGTGTTTACTCTGGTGGCATGTCTATTAAACAAATCTAATTAGTATGTTTCGAGGGGTTTGTTTGGCACGTAGGCCACACCAAGCATACCTAATTAATGGTGATAACGAAGAGCTAAGTTGGGACCCATGGATCGATTGGGTATAGATCCGCTAGCTTGGTTAGCGAAATGATGAAGCATTATCTATATTAAGTGGGGTCAAAGTATCTCTGAAATATATAAATTAGACTTAAAAAACTTTTTTTCTGGCAGATGTCAAGTTCTGGTCGTTGGTGGCGGCACTGGCGGCTGTGCCATGGCTGCCAAGCTCTCCTCTCGTCTAGGTAGCAACAAGGTGATCGTTCTGGAGCCAGAAGAGGTATGTAAACCATTACCCACCAAAAATCCAGCAGATTGAACACCTTTCTCCCAACAGAAACACTACTATCAGCCCATGTTCACCCTGATTGGTGGCGGAATGAAGCGTTTGGATCAATCACACAGGCAAATGGGGGATGTCCTGCCCAAGAAGGCCAAGTGGATTCAAGAGTCAGCCTTGAACTTTGACCCAGACAAGAATGAGGTCAGCACATCCGGCGGCAAGACAATCGCATACGATTTCCTGGTCATTGCCACTGGAATGCAACTGAAATATGAGAAGGCAAGTCTTTAAAATCAGCGTATCTTCTCATCTTATAATCAAGTTTACCTTTTAGATACCCGGACTAGTACAGGCCCTGGAGGCCCCAAAAACCAATGTGTGCTCGATCTATTCACCCAAATATGTAGATAATGTCTACGATTGCCTGCGCAAGACGTACAGGGGTAATGTGATCTTTACCTTTCCCCACTGTCCGATCAAGTGCGCTGGAGCACCGCAGAAGATTGCCTACATAGCGGAGCACTATTTCCGGAAGGTGGGTACCCTAATGATGGCCTAGAATTTAGAATTAAATCTCCTCTTACAGATGGGCCGCCGGGACCAACTGAATATCATTTACAATACATCCTTGCCTGTGATTTTTGGGGTCAAACAATATGCAGATGCCTTGTGGAAGGTGGCCAAGAAGCGAAATATAAACGTCAATGTGAATCGGAATCTCGTGGAGGTGAGACCCGAGGATAGCATAGCCGTATTCGAGGATCTCGCCGAGCCTGGAAAGCTTTACGAGGAAGTGGTAAGTACAGTATACGGCTTAAAGCCTTTATAAGCCTCTCCTTAAACCTCTCTCTCCATCAGTACTCCATGCTCCACGTCTGCCCACCAATGACCGCTCCCGACGTGATCGCCAATTGCAAGCAGCTGGCCACCGAAAGCGGATTCGTGGACGTCGACGCGGCAACGCTGCAGCACAAAAAATACAGCAACGTGTTCGCCATTGGCGATTCCGCCTGCACACCCAACTCCAAGACAGCGGCGGCGGCAGGTAAAGTTCCGTTTTGGAGTCGTAATCATGGAAATCGGAATATTCAATGATCTTTGGAATACTCAATGTGTGCATTGCAGCTGCCCAGTCACCGGTTGTATTCAAAAATCTGATGGCGGTGATAGAGGGCAAGAAGCTTACGGAAGCCTACGATGGCTATGCCTCCTGTCCGCTTGTCACCGGCTACAGCACCTGCATCCTGGCTGAGTTCGACTATAGCCTGGCCCCCTTGGAGACATTCCCCTTTGACCAGGCCAAGGAGCGTTATACAATGTTCATCATGAAGAAGACCTTTATGCCGATCCTCTACTGGCAGCTAATGATGAGGGGCTACTGGAATGGACCGGCAACGATGCGAAAAGTACTTTCGATTTTGAAGCTTAAAAAATAATGGAAAAAGTAATGAAACACCTTGATATTTGAAATACCTTGTGGATTTCAAGATATTTTAAATACCAATAAAATCAGGAGCAAATAATATATACAGGGGATTTCCTATACGACTGACTGAATTATTGAAAATATTGGCTATATATTGGCGATTTATCTAAAAAAAAAATGGGAACGTAAAAGTCACAAGCTAAAAGCCAGTTCAGGACCCTCGGGTTCCCTAAATAACTGAAAATATGGGAAATATTTTCAGAAATTCAGTCATACAGTCGTATAGAAAATCCCTAAATATATTGTTATTTGCTCCCCCACTCTCGGACCATAAATAAATGAAAACATAATATAACTATTTGGAGTTTTTTATCAGTTTATTAATTGTAAATTCAAGCACGCTTAATATTAATTTTAAATTACCTAAAATATTATTTTTAAAGTTTTTTTCGAACAGTGTAGTAAGGTAAAGCAGTTTAAAGCAGTATAACTCCTTTTTGCTTTCAAAAGCAGTTCATTCATTTGTAAGCAGTCCAAAGTGCACTTCTTGTCCATTTCAGTATTTTTTAAAATGTATTTCGTCTAATTTGCTGTACTCCAAGCTGGTCACTCTAATCCACAGCGTGGCGTCGCTTGGCGCTGGAAATTTAAAGATAACGAACAAAAAGAGCAGCCGATTTGTGCTCCAAAACACGTCTAAAACAGCTCCAGAGACAAAATTTAGCAACAAAGAAAATCCGTAAACATGAAGGCAGTGTGAGTATAAATTTACTTGTAAGAAATTCAATGCTAGGACTGAATATTCCTGTTCACAGACCACGGACGCCCATGCGCGTCATCCAGAAAACACCACGATTGCAGCCGCATACAACGGAGAAGCACCGCAAGGACTCATCAGAAAAGGCCAAAGATCCGGTGAATGTGTTCTGCCGCGTCCGACCACTCCAATCGGAGGCGGATCTCACCTCTCTGCGGGTGAAGAACTCAACGACAATTGCGTTAAACCCGCAAGATCAGCTGCTGCAGCATCACAAACATAACGGCGCCCAGCGCGAGATACAGTACATCTTCAAGCACGTCTTCCAGCCGGAGGCCACGCAGCAGGATGTGTACGGATCGGTGGCCCAGCCGCTGGTGGAGAACCTGCTGCGTGGCAGGAACAGCCTTCTCTTCACCTACGGCGTCACGGGTAGCGGCAAGACTTACACGATGACTGGTAACTTGCGGCATCGCGGCATTATGCCACGCTGCCTGGACGTCCTCTTTCGCACTATCTCGGACTATCAGGCCAAGAAGTTTGTCTTTAAGCCCGATAGGCTGAATGGCTTTGAGATTTTGTCCGAGGAGGATGCGTTGCTTGAGCGGCAGCACGAGATGAATCAGAGGTTCGCTGGCTCGGGAAGATTTGCCTTCCGGCACAAGGACTCGGATCCGGAGATCGCTTCCCAGGCCTCTGTAGAGCCAACGCCACTGCTGGGTTTGGATGAAGACAATATGTACTCGGTGTTTATCACCTACATTGAGATTTACAACAACAGCGTGTACGATCTGCTCGAGGATTCGGGTATTCAGAAGTGAGTAGCGAGGCAGCCCCATGTTTATTTTAAAGTTTATTTTATTTTATTTATAATTTTACTCATTTAAATTCATCCCCTTCCCAGGACTTTGCAAAGCAAAATCATTCGCGAGGATGCCAATCGTCATATGTTCGTCCACGGCGTTACCGAGGTAGAGGTAAAGACAGTGGAGGAGGCCCTCGAGATCTTCCAAATGGGCCAAAAGCGCAAACGCATGGGCCACACCGTTCTCAATGCCGAATCCAGTCGTAGTCACTCGGTTTTCAACATACGCCTGGTGCAGGCACCCACCGACAGCCAGGGCGAGAATGTGGTCCAGGACAAGCAGAACATTACGGTGAGTCAGCTGTCCCTGGTGGATCTGGCGGGCAGTGAGCGCTCTTCGCGCACCAAGAACACTGGAGTTAGATTAAGGGAAGCGGGCAACATCAACAACTCCCTGATGACGCTGCGCACCTGCCTGGAGTATCTCCGAGAGAATCAGCAGGCGGCCAGCAATGGTATGCCTCCGAAGAAGATACCCTATCGCGACTCCAAGATCACGCACATGTTCAAGAACTATTTCGATGGCGAGGGTCAAGTGTCCATGATTGTGTGCATCAATCCGAGAATAGAGGATTATGACGAGAATATGGTAGGTGTGGTTACTCCTGGTTCCATAACCTAGATTAAACCTTATATTCCCACCTTTTAGCAAGTGATGAAGTTTGCTGAGATGACGCAGGAGGTGCAGATAGCCAGGGCCACACCCATGAAAACCGATTTGGGTTTGACTCCAGGTCGTCGCAAGGCCAATAAGCTATTTAAGATAGCCGTCAACAATCTAAACGAGCTGGGCATACCCGAGGCCAAGGATCTGGAGGTGGACGTGGGTCTAGTGTACAGTCTGGGAGCCGATTTTCCCTCTTACCAGATGGACAGTCCCGAGGCGGAGGTTAAAATCCAGGAGCTGATGCACTATCTGGAGCAGCGCATTGAAAAGCGCAAGAAGCTGCGCAGCAATTTGGACATCAAATGTAGGTCTTAGACTACTTAGGCTAGCAGGAATACCCTTTAATTCTCACATATCTCCTCTTAGGTGACAGCTTCCGCCAGATGCTGATGAACCTAGACCGGGACAATCTTCAACTGCGCACAGAACTCGCCTCCTTGAAGGCTGTGTACAAGCAAGAGCGCGAGCGCAGCGCCGCCTTGGAGAAGAAGGTGCGCATCCACGAGAGCTCCATTGATGTGCTGAACAACACACTAAGCAAGCGGGATCGGCAGATCGAAGAGCTGTCTTTTAAGCTGAACGAAAAGGAGAGCCAGCTCACCCAGAAGGAGCACGAGAAGGAGAAGCAGAAGAAAAAGTTCAGCTCCAAACTGGCCGTGGAGTCGGACAAGACCAAGCGCGAGTTCGAGCATAAGCTGCGTGAGCAGAGGGCGAAGCTTACAGAAAGGATGCGCATCAAGGATGAGAAGCTGCGTTTGGTTTCAAACATACTGCAATCCGAGGATCTGCCCAGTCTGCCGCGATCCCAGAGCTCCGAGGATATGTTAAATGATAAGGATCGCGGGGCGTTTACAGCGCGCACGGAATCCTCAGTGCCGGCAACACGAACTGATATCTATGCCACGCCAAGACATGTAAGGATATCTCTTTAGTGCTTCATTATGTCATTACTTATTTCTTAATTCAAATCTTCTTTCAACAGGGTGCCGCAGCTGCCAACAATCGCCATCGACGCTCTCGTTCCGCTGGCGACAAATGGCTAGAGCATCGGGCTGCCAATCCCGTGCCCTTGGGCACCATCATGCAGCCTTATCTAAAGAACCGCAAGTCCATCACCAAGCTAACCGACATGAAGGAGCTTACATCCCATGGAGCCAACAAGTACTGCCTCGTCTCCCAGGAGGCGGACACCGATGGTGATGTCGAAACCAAGCTATACAAGGGCAATGTAATCCCCACCTGTGGCGGCGGTGCCCAAGTGGTGTTCAACGATGTGGAGTGCCTCAAGCAAAAGTCACCAGTTCATTCGCCCACGAGGAAGCGACCCAGCAACGGCACTCTGTCCGCTCTGGGCGGAGGCGGTGCAGTGCCCAGCACCATCACCTCGGCCCAGGACGTGGCCTCGCGCTGCAACCTCGGCATCGAGGGACACAGCAGCAAGAAGTCCAAGATCTAGGAAGGACACCTGAACATACATCAACTTAAAAATACTTACTTAGCTTTTAGTTAACTTAAAATTAAGTTTATTACTCATTTATTATGGTTTTTGGAGTTGAATCGCATTGAAGTGATTTTTTGTTTGATTAAAAAAGAAAAGTTTAACCTGTATAATAAAGAATACCCATAAATGAATTCGTAACCTCGCACAAGGATGAGGATTCCTGGCTCACAAAACCGCTGCTAACCGGAGGATAGTGGCGGAGAGCTCTCAGCGGGAACAGTCTTAGAATCGCACATGCATTCTTAATAGAATTACTCTTAATTTGTACCATAAAGTATTGAATATTTTATTGTTTTTTGGAGTAACCAAGCTCCACTTTATGAAATCAAGTTAATAAATGAAATTCAATAAAGTTACTACTTAAGGAACACCAAAAATAACAATCTTTCAGAATAATATGTAACTGGAAATGGAAGCTTTTTCAGCAAGAGTTAAAGTAAATATATTAACTTTCCTTAAATCAATATTTATATTACTTGATTTTAATGGGAAATAGGAATATATACGTCTCCCTGTATATAAAATTAGATGCTCTTAATATTTCTCTTTTTTAATAATTTTTTAACAAATCACACTGAATAAAAAGGCATACTTATTATTTATTAACCCCCAAAGCAGACAAAATGAGTTTAAACCATATTTTTTTATTATTATTATTCCTGCGTTTATTCAGATTTATGCTTAAACCGATAAATTTTATTGAAATACATACGGTACCATTCATTACACATATATATTTGTAGATTAATTTCAATTACTATTAAATCAGTCTATAATTAAAATATATGTTCGCTTAATGATTTCACGTGTATGTGTGTGTGAGTGTGTTACTGCTGTTATTGTGTGTTTGTTTGTTGTGTTGCTGCTGTGTGAGCTGCTGCGGCAGATGATGACTCTTCTTAAACGCTAGGTCTCGGCAATTGTGGCAGGTGGTTTGTGGGGAATTTCGAATTTGAAATTGGAATTGGAAGCCAATCGCACTATAAACTTATTATCAAACAGAATAAATCGAGAACAGGAATATGCGGAACATATAGAATATAAAAGTGGGCATCGCACAAGTTGAAACATTTAAACAAAACAAATTGGACAACGAACGAAACCACACATGTGTAAACATAATAAACGGGGGGACAAAAACTCAATGCAAGAGGTCAACATATAACCAGCATGGCATATATCGACTTATACGCGATTATTCCAATTAAACAAATTACAATTTAATCAATATAAAGCTCTGTTGTTTTCATATAAATGTTCACTCTCTTCTCTCTTTCTCATGCTCACACGACGCGGAACAAACTGTAAATCATCTGTTATGTACGCACTATTACCTACTATAATATTTATCGTAAACGTAGTTAAACGATAAACGTTACTTAATGGATTTTACAAACTAAGAAGCGAAATTATTCTACGGTGGAAAACGAATTTTGGCTATGAAGCAACGTAAATTAAAGAGGATTATTAATTATTAACAACACAAGCACTCACAGCCACAGCCACCCCCAAACTTTTTGTTGTGTTGCGCGTGTGTGTGTGTGTAAGTGTTGGCAAGGCAATCAACATTACATTACGGATAGTGTGTGTGTGTTGTGTGTGTGTGCTTAGATGATGAGTTTGTAATGAAATCTCGCTTGAAGCTGTATACTAGCTGCTGCTGCTGCTGCCCCGTCCGCACAATCGCTGGCTGGACCGAATGCGAACCACCATTGGCTCCTACTATGAGCACTTGACACAAGCCCCCTCCACATCAAAGTCCAGGACCATGAGCTTTGTTTCCTCTGTCCCATTGCGCGAGCCCACGGCACAAATAAGCTTCGTGTCGTTTGCCCTGAAATATTATAAATTTCGTACACAATTATTATATATTTTATTAAGGAATAGTTTCAAAACTTACCTGATCCGCCACACAACGCCCCCAGATCCACCAGAGTCCAGGGCCACCAGATTGCGTATAAAGTCTCCTGTCTTCACGTCCCACAACTTGACAGTGCCATCGTCAGAGCTGGTCACCACAAATCGGGAATTAAACTGCAGACAAGTCACCGCCGACTGATGCTTGTTTGGACCTACAAAGAGATAGAGTTAAGACCTAGAAAAACCCTCGTTCTAACCGCTACTTACCCGACAGCGTCTGCAGGCATTGTCCCGTTGTGATGTCCCACACCTTGACAGTGGAATCGGCATTGCCCGAGACGAGAATGTTTTGACGCAGCTCCATGCCGGAGGTCAGGCTCTGATGACCCATTAAAGTGTGCTTGCAATTGCCCGTCTCCACATCCCATACGCGTATCGAGGTGTCCAGAGAGCCAGAGACCACATGGAGGCCATCAAACTTTGGGTTAGAAATTAAGATTAATAAAACAATTTCCCTCTTTGCCTTAAATCTCCACAAACCTGCAGCGAGTAGACGCGATTCGTGTGACCCTGCAGCGTGTGAAGGCACTCCTGACGCTCCGGATGCCAGATCTTGACCATGTAATCGTAGGCTCCCGATACAATTAGCTTGCCATCGTACTGGACACAACGCACGGCGGCTAAATGGCCAACCAGAACATGAAGACAGGAGCCCTGTTCAATGTCCCAGACGCGAAGAGTGGCATCTCGCGAACCACTTACCACCCTGATGAACATTTTTCTCAAGATTAGCATTATTTCTATAACTGCAGCACAATTTATACTCACTTGTTGCCATGCAGATGCATGCAGCGCACCGTGGATGTGTGCCCCTGAAGCGTATGGACACAGGCACCGCTGTCCATGTCCCAGACCTTGAGTGTGCGATCGGTGCTGCCCGAAATGATAATGTTTCCAGACATTTGGGAAGACCAAACACCACCAGTATGACCCACCAGAGTGCGCAGGCACTGTAAGGATGTCAAGGAAATATATGGTTGAAAAGGGTCTTAGGGAAGTATATAAAACAAGTCTCTTACCTTTCCATTAACCGCCGACCACACCTTGAGCGTATTGTCATCAGAGCCGGACACAATGCGATTGCCGGAGAACTGCAGGCATGTTATCACATGGTCATCGTGGCCCTTGAGCACTTTGGGCTTACGCACTGGACGCGACCGCCAGTTCATCTCGATGATATGCTGGCGCATATAGGCAGCCTTCCAAGGTGAAGCTATGGGCGGCATATTGCCATCGCGTCCCCTCTTAGGGCGATCGCTGCGCGGTTCGGCCAGTATCTGCGCCTTTCGGCACTTCTCCTTCCACAGCAGGTTGTCGTCGCACAGGAAGCGCCAGCTGCGACACGTCTGGGCAGCCCTCAGCAGATCCTTTGGCTCCAAATAAGAGAGCACAAAGAGGGCCAATTCCCGGGGCAGCAGGGAGATAAAGTCACGCTGGAACTGCGGCTCAATCACCTTCATCATGTGGCGGACCTGCGAGGCATCGCAATGCTCAATCAGTCGGTCCAAGGCGAGCAGACAGTCGACATGCGACCACCGCTGGAACTGGGCCAACCAGTGTTGCAGCTCTGGCGGCGGATTGTCTCGTGACGGTACAGATCGTGGTGTACGGCGACCGAAGCCCGAGCCCGGCGAAGCATTGGCGAGGTGTTGTGACGAAGGCGTCAGGGACAGCACCGCCGTGGGTACCGAGGAGGAGCGCGGGGTGGAGGCAAAATCGTAGGCAATCCGTTTGCGACAGTTATCACCCAATCCTGAGCCAGAGTCACCCACTCCACCGCTGGCGGAGATGGTCATCGAGTAGTCGGTGCCATCCAGTAGACGCCCCTCGTTGAACTTCCGCTTGCGCTGCTGCGACGGGATCAGCGAGCTGGTGTTGCTAAACGATCCATTGCCATTGACCGCTTTATAGGCGGAAAGGATATGGGGCTCCTCGTGATCCATGGGATCCAGGTCATAGGCCTCGCTCAAGCTGGCATTGCTGCCGCCATAGCTGCTGCCGTTCTGGCAGGTGCAAATCTCCTCCAGATCGGAACAGTTGTTCTCCTCATCGCAATTGGCCCATGGCTCGTCGGCATTAAAGTCGCCGGGCTCCACCAGGCCATCACCAGCGCCAGCACCAGCTCCCTCCTCGACCACCACCTCTAGATGGATGACATCGCCAGAGCCGTTGCGCCTTGGCCGCGCCACTACTCCTACAGATTGTTGCGCTGAAGCTGCTCCTGTTAATGACCCACTGGCAGTCGGGGGATTGCTGCGTGCCAGGAATCGTTCCTGTGTCTGGGCGCTGGCATTCACCTGACGCGCCACCGGCTTCGTCGTTGATGCACTTGATGCATACTGGCAACGATTAGAGTTGGTGGAAGCTGATGTCGAAGCCTGAGCATCGCTGCCGCCCAAGCAATCGGAACCGGCCGAACAAGCTGCCGAGGGATTGAGGGCGGTGGTGCGACTGCAACCGCCACCATCCTGAGAAGTCTGCGAACCCACAGAGCTGTAGGAGACGGAACCACTCACACTAGCACCTTCCTCCTGCTCGTGGTTCTGCTGACAGCTGCTGGCAGATGTGGTCGAGGAGGCTGGAACCAGGCCTGGGTAATCATTCGAGTTGGTGTTGGTGTACACATCTGTTCGGGCTGCTCCCGTGCAGGTAGCCGACGACGACGATGACGAAGATTCCGCCATTGACTTTGACGCGGAACTAGACCGGTGCTGACTACAGCTGGAAGTAGATCCCAGTGAGGAGCCCAGATTCAGTTTGGCAGTGGACTTGCTCAGCCGGCTGTTGGTGTATTTGCGACTGCTTGTGGGAGTCGTCGACAGATCCTTGTAGGTGCACTGAAATGAAACGTTAAAATATTGAAAACAATCATTAAATAAATATAAATATAACAATCTCCCACCTTGCTATCGGAGGAAACAGTGCGCCCATTGCTGCTGCTGGGCCAGTCGTCGCTGCTGGTTGAGTTAGTAGCTCCTCCAGTTGCTTTACCCCCCGCCATGGATTTGATCAGACTTAGATTCAATTTGTTCTGGCTCAACATGGAGCTGGTGCGCAGGATAATGCCACCCGTCAGCCGCTGTTCCGTCTCAAAGTCACGCCGCTCGATCAGATCCATGGACTCTATGTCGGCCTTGGATAGGCCGGCGCTAGAGTTGGAGCTGGATCTGGAGCTAGACGTGGAGGCGGTCTCCTCTTGGGCAACGATATCCGCTGACGAGGGATTCGACACGGCGCTGGCCGTGAGACTCATCTGCTTCAGCCGCACAGACATAAGGCGGTCGCCTTCGGACGGTTGGTCGTCGACCACGCTGATGCCCGCCTCAGACTTGATCCCTCCCCTTCCTTCCGCTGCCTGTTCCTCTTCGCCCAACAGAAACTCATCGCTTAGACGTTTAGGCTTTCCAGCCAGCTCCGCTTGTGAGGCGACTGTGACCTGGCCGGGATGCGGCTGGGCCTCCTCCACGACGGGCGTCTCGAGAAAGATCTTTGAGCCATCGGCCGCCATTATGGTGCCGTCGGATAATGCCAATTGTGATGTATTGGTGCAATCGATGGCGGCTACTGCTATGTCATCGTCATCATCCTCCAGCAACTCCTCATCCTCTTCGTCCTCCGGCTCAACTTCCGGATCAGGATCATCCTCATCTTCGTCGTCGTCGTCGTTTATAAGGCAGACAACGGGCGGATCCTCGGCGTCTTCTTCGGGTTCGTTAAAGAATACCTGACTGTGCGACGCATGGACGGGGCCATCGTTGATGGTATCCGTGGAGGAGCTGTCGTCGACGGCCACCACACCCACGGTGGACGCCGCACCCGCGCTGGTGGGCAGTGAGTTGGAAGAGCTAATCTCAAAGGTGCTGGACTCATCGTCCAGGACTACGGCGAAACCATGCTGTGAGTTTGACGACACGCACACGTCCTCCACATCCTCCCGCAGCGTTGACATAGATACGGCTTTTGTGGGTGCTCCTACTGCCTCTCCTCCTTCTGCTGCTGCTTCTGATCCCGTTCCTTCTGCTCGGCGGCGGCTGGTGGTGGCCTGACTGGCGGCGGGGGCGGCGCTGACTGTTGATTGCGTTCGCTCCCCTGCTCTGGCCACGGATTCACTGCTAGCAGCTGGGCATCCTCTTTCCATAATACTTTTCAAACATCCAAAGTTGGGCAGCGCGTTCTCCTGGAAAGCGATAGAAAAAATAGGACATTTAACTAAAGGAGTCTAGGAACTTGAACGATATTAGTTATAACGAAGGGGCTGCTGTGAAAATTACAGTTTCTCAGCGATCCAAAACGATCCTTTGTGAAGCCACGGGAATTGAAGATGATCCGAAATTCCCACGCAACAAGCGCAAGCTGATGGTTGCAAAAAGGAGAAAAAAAAAAGAATAAGCGAATGAAAAGCAGTGGGAAAAATGTTTGTAAGCAGTCGCTGCCGCTGCCGACGTTGAAACTCGAAAAAGGAAATCACAAAAGTGCATCGGATCGGCGGAAGAGGCTGAAACGGCGCGAAGTAGAATGGGAAAAAGAAGACGAAACGGGTATTACAACAACAACATACACACAGGCAGGCAGGCGGCGGCGACGCAGGCAGCAAAAAGGTATTGCGGAGAGTGGAGAGAGATGAGAGAGCGAGAAGTAACGGACGTAAGAAGAAGCACCAAAGATACACAGCAGCCGCACCAACAACAACGGCAACAACAACAACATCACGTACACCTTGCAATTCAAGCCGCTATCTTTTCCCTCCGCTTTTAACTGGCTTGCAGTGATGATCAGCACGTGAAACAGTCACAGGAAGACAAAGTAACTGTGGCCGATCAAAAAGAGAATATAGTCGCTGATTGAAGTGTATAAAGAAGGTTATAGTGACCTCGGAAAAGGTCACAAAACAGTCATGTCACAAGAAAAATTAAAGTTAAATTACTACTCACACCTCATGACTCAATTTCATGACTACAACTTAGTCACTTGTGCAGAGAAAAGCAGAAAAAGAAAAACGTGTTTTTGCCAAAATTGCAGATTTGCACAAAACTCTATAGGATAATTACTTAGTATACGGAAATTGTGATAAGAATTTTGAACTTCATATTAGATTACCAGAGTCCCCCAGAAAAATCACCGATCCTGACCATCCCATCCTGACCATCCCAGTGACCGAAGAAATCACAGTTGCTCATCTCCGACAGCTTGACAGCAGTTCGACCCGCCGTGTCTTGTCTGTCACACAGCATCAGCATCCTACCAACACACACACACGAGCATCGCATGTAGAAAAAGGGATCGCTGCAGGCAGAGATTCGGAGGAGAGCGCAGCCATTATTATTGCAGCTCCGCCGCATCCGCAGCAAACAAAAGGGGCGAGATCACAAAGGAATTTTCAGCGCTCCTGCTGTTGCATCACTCGCAAACAGATCAGATGTGCAGGCATTCTCCGAACTATTTTCACCTTTCCACCCCGATGGCCATTGGCTGTTGACCTCCCGAAAACCCGAAAAAAGAAAACGTTTTTTAGGGTCTTCTTTCCGCCGCTTTCACACCGCGTGTATCCAGGCCGTAAGCGTTTTACCTGTCCCAGAGGACACTCGGGGATGCGTTCAACATTTTCTTCTGCTCATAACGGGCGTGTGGAGTCGCCGTCGTCGTCATAATCATTGCATACACACACACACGCATGCAGGCAGGGCTGATAATGGGCAGACCTGTGGTTACCCCCAAAAATAGATTATTTTCGGAGCGAAACGTTGCAATTCCTGGTGGGTTCTGGGGCCCTAACCCCACTTTTCTGCACCTGCACTGCAGCGGCGGCGGCGGAGCGGATGGAGGATTGCCCATAATTCGTGGAGCAAACAACAAAAGAAAAATGTGAACATTGTTGTACACACAGACGCACATATACAGCTACGCAAATATCGCGAGAAGATTTCGTCGCGTTTGGAGCAGACCTTGCGAATTGTTTGTAACTTTTTTGGGCCCTTCAACTGGGGCAGTTAAAAAACATACCCGCTGGCGGATAAGCAGTCTGTTTTTAATTATTTAGCTACCCATTTCACGCGTGTAAAACTTTTTGCGTTGGGCCCACACTAACACTAGCACACGCACATGCACGTACACACACGTTCAATCGAAATTTTTCACATACGTTTTGGGGCCGTTGCTCCTTGAGATTTGCGAACTCTGCGCTTCGGCTGCTGACTCTCGCTGTCTATCTAGTTGGATACATGAAGATTATGGCAAATTTCAGATTTTCTTCGAAAAAAAAACTAATGCGGAGCAAAGTTTAATGAAATTTGTGGAAGAGTGTGTGCTAGGGATGTGCAAAATATACCAAAATATCAATATATCGATATATTTATTTAAAATAAATAATATTTATATCGCGATATTTGTATGGGAATGCCGATATTTCTATAATATTACGATCTTGACTACCCTAAAATATTCCCTACACGAATTAAGTTCTAAAAATATGTAGGCAATATATTCAGATGCATAGGGCATTACACGAAGAAGAACTCTGCTAAATTATCGCTAGATATTGGTTTACCTTTTGTTATCTCCTATAATTATTTTTAACCTACTGTACATTTCATTCAACTATCCCCTGATTATTTTTTATTAAGTTTCAGGCTTTTGTTAAATATTTGCAATCCATCGCATAAACGCAGTGGCAGCTAATTAATGTATTTTTTCTCGACCCTGCCACGGTCACACGATTCTTAGGGTCACACAGCCGCCCGTAACTCTGATCGTCCAGATATTTTTTAGCCACCTTCACAACTTTTTGGCGTTTTACTAGCTTTTGTCAAAAGCTTTTTAAGCGGCAGCCAGTGTTCCCTAGATTTAGGGGTTTTTTTAAACTTGTATTAATACATATGTATAAAAAAACATTAAATTAAAGTAACAAAAAGATGTTTCTTCCTTATAATTTTGAATTTAACTGATTTTTTAAATTTAGGGGAAAACTGGATTTTTTAGGGGAAAATTTACACTTTTCGAGATTTTTTCATCTGGCAACACTGCCGGCAGCACCACTCCCCCTCTTCATTCTTTGAATCCCCGCCCACGAAGCGAAAACGTTGCTGACGAAGTGTAAGTGCGAAAATTGTAGGGCCGAAAAATTGCATAAGACTCTCCAGTCAAAAATTTAAATCAAACGTGACACCAGCTCCGAAATCAGATAAAATTTCTGTGAACTTTGTTTTGTTTCTGTTGTAACACCGCCAGAAGAAACCCCGTAAGTGGGATGAAATTCTTGGCACGGCACGCCGTTATGTAACCTAGAAAAGCAGCAAGCAGCTGATTGCTGCGCTGAAGGAAATATAATTAGATAAAGCACATGTCTGGCGGCGCCTGATAAATACACATATAGCTTACGGTTCCCTCTCCCCTTTCTCTTGCAGACGACCTTGTCCCGTAGCAGATCCAGCAATCAAGATGTTCTCAAGCTTCTTTGAAACCGCCAGGAACTCACCCTTCCGCAGCCCCTTCACGCCCGTGCAATGTGACGCTGCCACCAAGATTGCGGAGGATCCCCAGCCCGTTCAGGGACGCGAAATCGCTGCGGCCGCCACTGCCAACCAGAATGATTCGTGCGAATTCGGCAGCAACAAGTACTTTGCGCTGTGCGGTATCGGTGGCATCCTCAGCTGCGGCACCACCCACACCTTTGTGGTTCCCCTGGATTTGGTCAAGTGCCGCCTGCAGGTCGACTCGGCCAAGTACAAGAATCTGTTCCATGGCTTCAAGGTCACCGTTGCGGAGGAGGGTGCTCGCGGCCTGGCCAAGGGATGGTTCCCCACCCTGTTGGGTTACTCGGCGCAGGTACGTCGGGGTTCGGGGGGTTGCATAATCACGTGAAGGCGGAGGGAACGTGACACGGTCACCTGATGGCCCCAATTACATTGACATAGATATGCACAAGAAAGCTGTCCAAATCAGATCGTTTGTGATTAATCAATTAATTCCCATTTCATTTTCCTTAGGGTCTCTGCAAATTCGGTCTGTACGAGCTGTTCAAGGTGAAGTACTCTGAGATCATTGGCGAGGAGAATGCCTACCTGTACCGCACCTCCTTGTATCTGGCTGCTTCCGCCTCGGCTGAGTTCTTCGCCGATATTGCTCTGTCTCCATTCGAGGCTGCCAAGGTTAAGATCCAGACTGTGCCCGGTTTTGCCAACAACTTCCGCGAGGCTGTGCCCAAGATGCTGAAGGAGGAGGGTGTCAATGCCTTCTACAAGGGTCTAGTGCCACTGTGGATGCGACAGATCCCATACACCATGATGAAGTTCGCTTGCTTCGAGCGCACCGTGGAGCTGCTGTACAAGTAAGTTTTATTTTTAATGAATTAGAAAAGAAGAGGGTTTTGAAGTAAGAGGATTTGTTTATAGTTGGAGTAAGAGAAAATATGTAGCACTTTCTTGGAATTAGGTTATTATATATAGTTTCTTTATCAAGGTTCAAAGTCCACTTTAATTTCTTTAAAGGGAATATAACATTTAAATGTTATTTAATATATTTCAAATGCCAAAAATTAATACTTTATTTAGTTTTGCATAACGTCACCGAGTAATTAAATTATATTCTGGGTGAAAATTAATTTTTAGCGCTTTGCCAGTCAGCAGATAAGAACAACGTCTCAACAACCAATGCAAAAGTAATTTATTGTTATCTAGACAAGATATAGTGTTCTTTAACGTATCATGAAGTAGGTTTCCTTTCTTCCTGAAAAATCAATAAACTTTCTTCCGTATTGCCTTATGTAATGCTGAAAAATGGCAGGACCTACTCTAAACCTTAGCAAAACCTCTAAAAAAGTAATACAAATTTAAACTAATATTAATAATGGACTTCTCTCTTTCCTTTAGGTATGTGGTACCCAAGCCCCGTGCCGACTGCAGCAAGGGCGAGCAGCTGGTCGTCACCTTTGCCGCTGGTTACATTGCCGGTGTCTTCTGTGCCGTTGTGTCCCATCCCGCTGATGTTGTGGTGTCCAAACTGAACCAGACCAAGGGCGCCAGCGCTGTGGATGTGGCCAAGTCTCTCGGCTTCAGGGGCATGTGGAATGGCTTGACGCCGCGTATCATTATGATCGGTACCCTGACCGCTCTGCAATGGTTCATCTACGATGGTGTCAAGGTTGCCCTGGGCATTCCCCGCCCGCCGCCACCAGAGATGCCCGCCAGCCTGAAGGCCAAGCAGCATTAAAATGGGATTAGTCGTAAAGATACCACAGAGTTGATCCAGTTTAGCGCGATTGTGGGCAGAACCTATAGGGGAGAGCAACATACTTTTATTTTCTAACGTTATACATTTTGCCTAGAAGCAGCCTTTTGGGCCATATCTCTTCAAGATCAGTGTTGCGTGTGTACATTCCTGGAACAACGTACATAACTCGATGCGTTTCAATGTCACGGCAATTTATCTACACTAGTACTATATAAAGAGCAATTTATTCTTATTTTAGTTACTGAACATTCTGTCTTATGCATCTAAGCTACCACACTCAAGTTCAAAGTATTTCAATTCCATATACAATCTAACACTATATACTATATATCTTTAGCCCAATGTGAGTCTAGTTACCGCTGGAAAGTATGCCCGTATGTTGTCCCCTTTGTTGGTCCAGCCCCTTGTTCACCCTGCCACACACATGCGAATATGATATTATGCTGTTTCAATTGTATGACCCCCGCTCCGTACCCCAAAACAGAAAGCACTCTGAATAAATTAAATTATAAAATATATAAAAACCACTACTAACGATGCGTTTTTTCTAATCTAATGCAACTCTTTATTAAACGGGAACTGGTTCTGGCGTTTAAAGTCTCGCAATGATAGCCTTTGACCAATACAAATACTTGATCTTGACTTTGAAAAGCTTAAATGGGGCTGTTTGATTAACTTAACCCAGGGGAGGAAGAGGAGGCACAATGCAGGCGGGTAATTGAGCATTATGATGGGATCATGATTAAATTTTAGTTTTATTTTACATTTGAGTAATTTATAAATTTAATTTATTTCTTTATATAAAGAAAATATGGTTAAAAAAGGAAAGTATTTTGGAGAGGGCGTGTCAGAACGCTCTTTTGTATGTACGAAAAAAAAAGAAGATTAGAAAAGTAAAGCATTTTAAAGGGGGAGTGTCCAAGTGACACCGCCCAAGGAAACTTTTATATTTTCCATTAAATTCAAATAACCGCATCTAATAATTAAAAAATGTAAATACAAAATCCCAGTTTTTTTTTCAAAAATATATTTATTTTGTTGTTTATGAGCAATGAGCTGAATAAGACAATATAATGGCTCGTTGTGTCATAAGTTGTGTTAAAAACTAAATAATCATAGAGTACGTTTTTTATATGTATATGGGCACATATATATAGTTGATTCATATTCACGTTACGTCAGTTGGGCTGAGTCTGGCTTACTAACTAAATAACCTCTAAGAACTACAAGCTAGACATCTTGACTTAACTTTAAAACTCATAGGTATATAAATGTATTTAACAGGCAATTTTCTGGTATATAATTTTTATCGTTTGTTTTTTGTTTCTGTATGTACAAATCGCTTAAGGCTAGCTAGGTGTATATGTATATGTAGAATATATAGTCGGGGATCTGGATCACACAAAACAATGAGGACAAAGAACTGTTTGTTTTCCGTTTGTTGTGTTTTTAATTTTAATTTTATTTCATAATTATATTGCAGGACGTGTTTTCTTCTCCGTAACAAGCCATTTCAGTCTTAGCGTTTCAAATAACCAAAAAAAAGGAAATAATTGTATAATGAAATGAAAAGAAATAAAAATGGGGGGAACAAATAATAAAACGAATAAGCTTATGGTCTAATATTTTGTTTGATTTGTTGTGTGTGTGTTTTTGTTTGTTTGTTTTTTTCGTTCTTTATTTTGCAATTGCAGAAAATTTCGAAACAATGGTTTGCTAGGATACTTCACGCCTCAAAATTCCTCTCTTCTCCTTACGTTTTTTTATGGGGGTTTTCTTTCGTTTTTAGTTTAGTTTTTACATAAATCTAATATCAGTTATACAAGAGTTGTAGACAATCACACAGGCATACACAGGTAAACATATATATAAATCTTGTTGCTTTAGTTTTCTTCTTTACAATCGAACATACAACATTTTAGAGGATTAAAATTGATAAAAGTCAAATAAACATACAAATTTGGGCTCTTTTCTAATAGAAGTAGTTATCGGGAGCCCCCCTATATCTCTCATGGCACGTTTAAATTGGGATTTTTGTACCAGGCTATACGCTTAAGTCAAACAAAAAGGTTTCGTTAGTGGTAAAAATCTTTTAGACTCTCTCTCTGTCCCTAACACTGTCAATTTAAAATTTAAAAAATCTTTTCCGATTCTGTTCATGTGGCCTAAATGAGAAACTTAATTCCTTGTTGAGCTGGGGCCAGGGAAGTCCACTTCCCCGGTTTCACCCAGGCAATCTTTTTACCAATATGGCGTATGTGGCTCCTGGTGCCAGCCATTTTGGTCCTGCACCTTGGCCAAGGCATCGGTCAGGGTGGACCGCATTTGTTGGCTCGAATTGCGATTCTGTCCCTTATCATAGGGCGAAAGGGCGTTGTAATAAAAGGGCGATCGCTTGCTGATGGTGTAGTTTTTACCCTGCAATAATATCAAAAAATATGTATATATTTAAAATAAAATATTTAATATTTTTTCTATTGACAAAACTCACATCATTATTATCCCAATATTCTGTTTCGTTGGTGCGGTAGCAAATGCAGAATTCCAGGCGCTTAGAGGATGGCGGCAGGGTGATCTTGAAGGAGAATGTATCGAAGACGACATGGGCACAGGTGGTCGGGCCATAAGCTCTGGCAAATGTGCAAAAGATGTCCTGCTGGCTCTTCCAGTCGTCCCAGGTCACACGTACAATGATCTCCTTCTGGAAGTCGATGTTCTTCACCTTGATGGTGCCCACCACAATCGACTCCTCATCCTTGACGATCACATTCTCCAGGGAAACAAAGTCACGCTCTATCTTTTGTCTAAAAGAAATTTATGTATATTTTTTTGAGTTTTAAATATATTTTAAAATTTAATATTTAATTTAATTCGATAATCATTTTAAATTCCTTTTATAATAGTTTTATTAGCTTCCAAAACTCACCTAAATGATAGATAGTCTGAGGCCGGCTGCTTGAAGTCCACCGTCCACTGATCTGGCGGATGTGGACTGACCAGGCCCTGTGTTATCTGCTCCAAGAACTTCATGCTCCAATAGGGCGGCACGTTCGAGGGTTCGGACATCACACGAACCTCGGTCAGCGATAGGCCCTCATCATCGGCAAAGATCACATGCTTTTTGGGGCCGCGACTGCCAAAATGAAAAGAAAAGAATAGAAAAGAAATCCCATCAGTTGAGTACATCACAATAAATTATATATAAATTACCTATTCATTATTAAAAAATATATTTATATTTAAAAGAAATGTAGATTTGACCCCAGCATTATCAGTTTGACTTGACCCCCCCAATTTGGAAATATATGTATTTAATTACTTAATGGTCATTGACTTTGCTTCTTTGGTCCGCAAAGATTTCTATTTTTAAGCTAAACAGTTGGATTTTATTGGTTTGTTTTGACTTTTAGTTTACCTAACTGCGTCGTTGTCAAATGCATTTTTTTATAACATTTTTTTAGCTCCTGTGAGATAACCAAGATCTTCTCTATCAGTCTGCCAATTTTTGTAATTTTCCAAATACCTAAAGGTATTTCCTATATTTTATTTCCCTTTTCTTTAGAAACATATTATATCTTCCAAAAAAATGCTGTTCCCGAAAAATTCCCTGCGTCATAAAAAGAGTAATGTGTATGAAATATGTTGTTGCTTTTTTTTATTTTTAGCAGTCACGTAGTACGGTCTTGCCAAAGATTTGCCTTAATCTATATGTAAAACACGCCTACTTTCCACCATTGCCTTTCTTTTTTGTTTTTGGTTTTATTGGGCGACCCGGCCCACGAGTCTTTGGCTTAAATGTAAATAAAAACACGCCCCACTAGGATATATAGTATATGTACATATGTATATGATGGATAAACTCGTGATTCAAAATGTAGGAAATAATTCAAGAAATTCTGGAATTTCGGATATTTGAAACAGAACCAATCTGAGTTTGGCAAGAGACTGAAAATCCCTTGGTATATATTTTATACATATTCTTTTTAAAATATATATGAAGATACAATACTGTTTTTCATTTAAATATGTGTATAATGTCAGGGAAGTGTTAAGGAAATACTTATTATGGTTCTAAATTTATTTCTTCCTTGTTTCATAATATTTCATGATTTATTATATTTTGTATATTTATTCTAACAATTCTTTTATAATGGAAAATTAGTAATCAGCTATTTTTATTGTTCTACTTTTATATCAGGTTTAAAAATATTAAAACTTCTATCTAAATATGTGTAAAACATCAGAAAAGTATAAGGGAAACACTTTTTATAGTTCTATATTTTTTTATAATTGATTATCTTTTTTAAAATTTTTATTGAAAATGTTCTTATGAGGGAACTAAGTTCCCTGGATTTTTATTCCCCATATCAACCTTTTTTCCTTTTAGAAAGTTGACCATAAAATCGATAAGATATTGAGACTAATTTTGGCTAATCAGACCAGTTAGGGGCTCGCTTTTTAATAGCTCTTTTCGCTGTTGTCAAACCAAAATAAACCCCACTAATGCTGAGAAACTGAAAAGTTTCCGTCAGTTGGAGGAAGCCTTATAACCCACACACCCCATGGTGCAGAATTTATTTGGTCTGCAAATTGAAGGAGGGAGCCGGGGGAAAACGCATCGAGTGCTAAATATATATGAGAAGTACAAATAGCCAACAGTTTTGTTGGCTATTGCCAGGCTGGCTGGCTCTCTCTGTTTATTGAACGCCGGCTGGCTGGTTTGCTCTGGCAGTACTATTCGCCGGAGATCGCACCACCTCGACTCGACTCGAAACGGATCGAAACGGATCGAGGCGACTATCGACGATCACGCATCGAGGGCATGATCGGCTGTGCGCCTGCTGTTACTGCATTTTCTTCAACAGGTTTCTTTCCGAGACGATCGCTTATCTGACGTGTGTGGGCCTCAACGCCCAACCAGAAATCAGAAATCAGAGACCACAGACGGGTCTCTTGGCCGCCGCTTTCCTGTAACGTTGTCAACTTTTAAAAGAGATCGCCCGAAGAAGTAATAAAAAAAACGAAATATATGTTATATTAATTTACATTTCCATTTTCCCCACATTTTCCTCCAAGGGAAACGAGTTTGAATGCATTTGTTCAACACCTAAAAGGCAGTCGCATTACGGAACGCATTTAATTTCGAGGGTCCGGTTTACAACAAGTCCATAAATTTGTCAGCTTCTCAATATGCAAGGCACAAGCATTAAGGGGAAAGGAGAAACAAGTTTCGAAGACATTAAAAAGGGATTTTTAAAAACCAAAAACCCGAGGAAATTATGCCTAAAAATACTTTACAATTCCGCAGTTTTCAATCTGTTAGCCTTGCTCGAGTCCCCCAAATTTTTGTAATTGAGTCAATAACCTGTCCACAAAAAATATTCTGCCAAGACCTGTTGAAATTTTTACAACTGTCTAATTTGATGGTCAGCCTAGTTGACCTTATAGTTGGTCTAGTTTTGTTGTTTTTGCTTAATGAATCAAGACATTTCCGTCTTGGATTTTGGCAACATTTTCAGGTTTTCCTAAAATTTTATTATGTCTTTTCTACGCACGTTTTAGTTGCTTTGGAAATTTCCCCTACGCACAGTCAAAGTCCACTACTAAGTAAGCGTCTGAAAATAGTTTTATTTGGAATTTTTGTTCGTCTTAATGACTTTTCTTTATAAAACTTAATTTTCTAAAAAAAAGGTTACACTCTTAGACATTTACAGAATTTTTTCTGCATTTTTTCTGAATTTGTTCAGCTGATGGTGCGCCAACATTTTTACATCAAACGCAACGCCTCAGCCTCACATTTTTCTGATCGATTCACGTGAGTCTCGCATGAACATCGGACATATCTCCCCATCTTCTGCCTCTACTAGATGTGTATATATAACCTTATGGCTGTGTGTGCTTGTAATGTTGAAATATTTTTAGTTTACGTTACACCCGAAAAAAATTTGGTGTGTTTAATGACGCCTTTCGCTTGAGAGCGATCACGCTTCTAGGCTAATAATTCTTCGGCCTTGACGTGACCCGTCTGCGTCGTTTTATGGTTGATCTTGATCATTTTCGGTTTTCTTTTCATTTATTTTTAGGGTTGTGGGAAGGTAATTATGAAAAGAAGAAAGCTTTTTTTCATGGGCTGTCAAATGTGATTGAAATAAAGGGAAGCACAAGACGTCCCAACGAGTGACAGGATATTGATGGATGAGCTAAATATGCATCCAAGGGATACATTTTTATTTTGTCATCAATTTTCGTTCAGTGCATTTCGTAACTGATAAAACCAGGCATATAACATACGCAACCGCAAGTTGTATACACAAAAGCTGAAAGCACGCGTCTGGTTTACATTGATAATAAATATTACGGGGTAAATTGCATTTACGTAGAGAGGCTGTGGAGGGGTTTAAGCTTGCTATACCCTCGTCTCGTCTAGACATTGCCCAAATAGAAATTCTAGTGCGCCGTCTTTTGACGCAAATGCATGTATCATTTATTTTCTCTATCTCAATGTACATACACACCAAGAACAATGTATTACGTATTTTTAGCAATTTTTCTTTTATTTTAAATGTCAAATTCAAGTGCAAAGAAGGAAATTCGCTTCCCAGGGCTTGCTGAAAGCGAAAGATATTATTTTTCAGGGCCTCGCATATGAATCAATAATGAACTGAGAATATATATATTACGTGTATAGAAAGAGAAAACGAAAATAATGGCGCCTGGCCGTTTGGTTCTATAGTATGTGTGTGCGATTTTTTATCTTAGAGATACTAGATAGAACCCCTCGCGATCGCGATGCAGTGGCGTGTTTTTCTTTTGGCACATTTCTGCACTCATTTAGATAATTTATATTTTGTTTTTGTGGAATTGCATGTTCTTAAATTTAGCTTAACATTTTGCTTTTACTTGTATATATACCCAAATATTCCCTAGAGTATATTTTATGGATCTTTTTGCGCCTGGGATTGCAATTGCTTTTCCGTTCTTATTTACCAAATGACATGTGCTCTCTATGACGTCTTTGGGAAAGTTGTTTGACTGCCAAGAGATTGTGTTTTTTGCTTCTACTTGAACTATCGTTAATGACTTAAATACGATATACTTTTTTGTTTATAAATGGGAAACAGGAAATGGCATTTTGGCGGCTTTATTTCGGGGTGCTTGCTTGGGCTTTATGTACTCCTAAGACATTTTTTATACTGAAACGATTTTAATGGCTTTCCTGTGATGCCTTTATTTTCTACATAAAAAACCCTTATATTTGATATGATCTTACGACTTTCTTTGAGCCCAACCACAAGCTACCAAGTTACCCAGATAACTCATCTTAAGCTTCTTCTGTTACCCAACTCTCTCTATCATTTTCTCATTTTCTTTAAATCCATTCGATATCTTTTGCCTCTTCAATGAATCACTTATGGGGCGTTACACCCATTCTGACCACAATTGGCTAGACCTCACAACCCACAAAAAAGTCTCAACTAGTTCAGTTGGTGGTTTTTGTAAGTGCGGCGCCATTATCTTTGCTGGCCTGACGTCAAAGTGACTGAACCCGCCCTCTCGATCGAATTACGTTTATGATGATGTAATCTTATCTTTCCAAACTCACCTCAGTTCGCAGTGGGTTGGTCCGTTAATGTCGCTATCCTTGCTGCACATACAGCCATGGCTGGCACTGTCCGTGACATCGCCTTCGGTGTCCGTTGGCGAGAGATCTGTGGTAATGGGGCTGGCCGATGAGCTGTTCACATTCTGGGATGATTTGTGCAGGCAGGATTTGCGGCTGAGACAGGACTTGGGCTGGTTAGTGAGCAGCGGGGCGGAGGCCATCCGTTCCAGGTAGCTCCGGCCGGATCGACTGCCCACACCCAAGGGCGTGGCGCCAGCCTTCTGCTGACTGGGGCCCTGTCCCTGGACCGCCGCCGAGGCGTTGTTGACCATGGCTTTGGAGGCCAGAGTTATCACTTGGGGCCGGCAGTAGCGAGACGCTCGGTTGGGCTCGTCATTGTAGCTGGAAAAGAGAGGGAAGTATGTGAGTTTTAAACGAATAAAATTTTTAAAGACTAAGATATTGTAAACTTATAATAAAAACTTTTTAATTTTGTGTTTAATAAATCCTACAAGAAGTCTTAAATTGAAACATAAATTCAATCTCTAAAACCTCCAGTTGCTAAATATAATTTATTAATACAAAATATCACCAGATGTGTCCGTTTTTTTGTGATCTTTTTTTCTTTGCATAGATAAAGAAATGAGGACCTCTCGGATCAGTCTTTTATTTTGGGCATCTACGCATCAAGCTGCACTTTTATCAGGCCTGATAAGAGGCTTTGGTTTTAAATTTTTACTGCTATATTATTCGCCTCCATTGTCCAGAGGCCTATGTATACTACTTGATCTTGTACTTATATTGCTTTTGATACCCGCATATATATTGTCTATAAAGAAACATTGCTGATAAGACAACGGAGAGTTGCGCACGACCTCCCCACTTGATTTTGGATTGTTGTGGGGGGAATTTAATATTTAATTGAAGCATATTTGTTTGGGCTCTCCGTTGAGTCATCGCTGAAAATGTATTTTCAGACAGAGACTCACTCACTCATCTCATTCGCCGTGTTAGTTATCATACGTTTTTTGGCTAGACATTTATGAAACTAAAAAGTCAATGCTTGATAAGGCTTGAACCTGTAGTTCTAGTGGACTTTCGCATGCTAAAAAACATATGCTGGTTCCATGCTGATACCGCTTTTTTCGGCGTGGGCCTGGCTATGAGAACTTTTCCGTCTGCCCTGCCTGGTTATCACTGCCTTTTATTGGCTAATTGCTGCAGTCTCGACCCTTTATCAGCATATTTAGTGCCTGAGTTGGCAACTTGAAAAATTTCAAGTGTTTTCGATGTCATACCACCGAGTTACTTCAGTTATTTCCAGTATTGATCATGGGTAAATGGTATTAGAAATCGTCAGCAGTAGTTGTAAAATTACGCTGTGAATTCTCAAGTGAATTGACGCAGAAACAGCTGAGTTACTTGAGTTAGTTGGAGTGTTTAGGGATTACTCCGAGGAATACCACTGACGTTCCTTGATAGGAATGGTTTTCCAGGGTGGTTTTCTATTGTAAATACGGATTTCCAGAGCTATAATAGTCTTGGATTTGCTCTATCTTAAGGTCTTTAATCTTAACTGATTATTTTGTAGAATTTTCAGTTCCTTTTGCTCGTTTTGTTCACATATAAATATTTATTTTTAGCTAGCCATAAATTATACGAATTTTGTTATTGTACATTTATCATTCACCAAAAATAAAATGCTCACTACAAAATGCAGCGCGTGCAGCAAATGAAGCGCCGCAAATTTGTTTTATTGGATCAATTGCTATATGGTACACCCTAGCCTCCCTTTACCGATTTGTCATAACTTTCGGATGGCTCGTGTGCCCCTGAGAAACCGAAAAAAAATGTAAGAAAAAAAGTATCGTCAGAGCGCCACGCGCTTATTTGTCGCCAAGCGAGCAACATCTCCCCAACTCGTGAACAATTCTCCAAACCCAAATCTCTTTCTCTCTCTCCGACAGAAGATCACCTCAGCATCGGCGAAATGTTTGTTTTGGGTCTTGCCTTGCCTTGATCTTGAATGGTTTCACTTCATATTTTTTTCGCCAATCTGTTGTCAACCAAGAAACGAGCCTTAGTCGCCGGGAATATTTTTAGTACCCCTGCATTCGCTGTGTTCTTGAAATGTTTTCACGTTTAGTTCGCTTTTTAAAGTATTAAAAATACAAGTTTTTCCGCTATTGAACAGTTGGCTTAAATGTTTTTAAGTGACAGCTGGTACAGGTGTTTCAGTTACTTCAATATTTGAAGACCTCAAAAGAAACATTTAGTAAACATTAACTGAAATTCATTCTGTTACATTCATTAAACAGAATTGTTGATTTACTCGTTGTTTGTTCAGCTGCAACTAAGAATTCTTTTATTTTTTATAAAAATTGAAAAACGAAAAAATTATAAAAGAAAAATTTTTATGTTCGATTTTCTTTTTAAAGTAATTTTTACTCAATATTTTCTTATAGCCCTCTTTTTTATTAAATGTTTATATCATCTTTTTTGTTGTATAACAACGGAAGTGATAAACACAACATTTTTTTTGTTTAAGTCATGTAATCTCACAAATTTATCGACTGCTTAATCAACATTTTTTCTGTTTCTTTTATTAACACGTACACACACACACCTGTTGAAAACAAAATGTATCTTAAAATGTATCTGGAAAAATACCTGTCGAGTTATATAGGCTGATAAGAAAATAAAAAGAAAGTTTGTGTTAAGACGTGACACTGGTAAAAAACTAAAACGTGTCCAGGTTTTTCTATCACACGAAAACTCTTTTCAGATTTCCCAAGTTAATTTATTTTGATTGGCAGCCGAAACTCGTGAGTTCACTTAAATCAATTTAGTAATAAATTAGGCCAAGTGGCTGGAATATTTATTTATTATTAGTTATTTAGTTTTTTTGTAAACTTACTTTAACGATTGACGCTGATGTCCGCTCATGAAGTCCGCCAGAAAACTAACGGGTGGACTGTGACTGAATATGGGCGGACTGTGTGAAATCATTTTATATATAGGGCTTCGATCTGCGCTCTGATTACAAAATGTTCTCTACAAACAAGGAACTTTATGTGTTTGGAAGGCCCTGTGAAAATAAATACATATAGAAAATTAAACGATTTGTTTTTGTTTTTCAATCGAAGCACAACAAATATTTTTTTTAATTGGCAAATAATATGTAAAATGGAATGCATGAGCGCTAAATAGTACATTTATGTAATTTTGAATAGCTAATCGCAGGTGGGAATCTCATTTAATGGTGTTTACACACACTAATGATGTCCGAAATGGTTAATAATAATTTTTAATGTTAATTTTTTGGCCTGATTTAATAAAGCCACTCAGTAATTTAATAAAATTTTGGTATGATAACTGAATAATTTATGATTTTAGTTTCTACTTTTGTTTATGTTTTGAGGTGAAGTTCGCCACTAACCGTTATTTTCTTATCTCTTCTGCGTCTACTCTTCGCTATCTTCTTCTGCTTCAGGGTAAAGAAGGAAAGGAACTTTTTTCTTTTCTTATTTTCTTGTGCTGTCAATCACTTTTCTTTGAGATGTGATTTTCTTAATTTAAAACCTTAATTTTTTTTTTTTACTTTTTCATATGTGCATCACGCGTGAGCGTCAGACAATGAAAACGATGGACTTTAATTGAATTTATTAAAATCCTCCGATGTGGGGGCACTTTTCGTGGACACACGCACACAACGACGAACGAACGATTTTTAATGGATTTTCACGCGGCTTTTTCTCAAGTATTACTTAATTTTTGGTGTGTGTGTTTTTTTTAAACAATTTAATGTTACAAAAAAAAAACAACAACAATTCGCGTCGCGTTCCCCGTTCCGTCTCGTTCCACTCCGTTCCGTTCCGTTCCTCCTATGAACCGTACGCTTCGGCGCTGCGAAAACGAATGAAAATGGTTCGGAGGTGCTACTTGCCGTTAAGACCCCGGTGATCCGATCGGTACACACAGAGAAAGAGGGAGCTCGAACACTTTCTGGCTCTCTTTTGTAGGTGAACCGTGCTCTCTCTCTCCCTTACTCTCTCGGGATCTACTACGTGGCTTGCATTTTTCGATTGCATTTTAATATTATCATTTACTTTGGGATGTGTGTGTGTTGGTAGCTTGGTTTTAGTTTTAGTTGCTTTGATTAGTTTTGGCGCCGCCGGCGGTGACAAAAGTCAAAACGGGTGTCAGGCCCCCGAGACATGATCACGGGCAATCTCATATAGACGGAATCTCCCGCCTCGTGGACCCTGAGTGAAATTCAGGGGAATTTGCCAAACAGATTTTCCGCCTTTCAGCTGTTTGATCATTTATTTACCTTAGTCGGTATGTGTATGTGCTGATTAGTTAAGTCCTTAAAGAATTAATATATATTTTAGATGTTAATTGTAAGGAAAGGGGTGTAGAAAACTATTTAAATTGTCTTATTAAATATTTAAAAAATTTAATATTATATATTTGACATTTTTAAGTAATTTATATACCTAAAAAACTTATTATAAATTTTAAAATATATGTACATAAAATATACAAATTATATTTCTTTATATTATAATTTAGTTAAACATTTTTTGGACTTTCTTGTATAATTGTACTATTATTTCTTGCAGTATTGCTCTCTAAATAATTTTATATTCTCCCCAATAATTTCACTCTGTGTCCTATGAGTTTTTCCCAATTGAAAATAAAATTTTTGAGTGAATTTTGGTTTCATTTATGTGTTCAGCCCACGCATTTCTTGTATATAGGAGCCTACCTTGTCACCTCTAAATCAATTAGACCATCAAAGAAGATCTTGTGTAAGATACTTATTTTACAACTTTGATATTTTTGTTGATATGGGAAGAAAACATTAGAATAATAAACTGGTTCAGAAATATTGAAAATGACAATCGGATTTAGGGGAATAATAGGGAATTTGAAAGATTGGATTCAGAAAAGATATACCTTAACTATGATATCAAAGAGTTTTATTTAACAAAAACCAAACTTCACAAGAAATAATATTTAAATAAATCAATGTAATTCCCAAACATTAAATTTGCATAAAAATAGATTTATGATTAAGTTTGATATATTCATAATCAAATTTATTGTGATGACTGAATCTTTTTTTTGGAAATAAAAGCCTATTTAAATGGGAAAATCGTTCATTTAATACCTGTAAGAGAGGCTCAAAATTCCACAGACCAAAAAAACTAATGAACCATTTGAATTGATTTTTCTCGTCGCCTTTTCCTTTTACATCTAGAGACCCCCAGACCAATTTCGACCCACATGATATCTGTCGTACCCACATCAAAGAAAAAAAAAAAAGAAAAAATGTCCCAGACAAGCGGAAACCAAAACTCAACACAGAAATGCAGTCTCGAAACAGTGACTGGGTGGTTAGACCTCTTTTATATAGAGAGCTAGAGCTACTTTTATCTATGGAATAAGAGTGGTGTTTGGTGTGCGTGCCGGGATAGAATGCACTCATGGCGGTGTTTCTGTGCCTGGATCTTGAGTTTTTTTTTTTTTCCTGCTCTGCTAATGCGTGATTTCAAATCACATCTCGAACCGCATGATAATGCAACTCCGTGGAGGGTTCACGCTTTTTGTCTCTCGAGTGTCACTCGAAAACAAAAAAACTTACTTTGAATGCGCACTTTCTTAATTTCTTTGGTTGCCGGTTGCCAACTCAGCAGCATCTCATTGAAAATCACTGTATGAACGGGTTAAAGGAGGCTAAAAGCAGTGGGCGGAGGCAGAGAGTCGATCGGCTAAATTTGTTGGACTGCACTGAAAAAAATATATATTTTTAATATAAGATTTGATTTTTGATGGTTTTAAGGGAAAAAAGTACAAGTAGTTAATAAGTTAAAAGGTAATGCTTGCATATGTAGAAATGGCATGAACTCTATATTAGGAAGGATCTGTTCTAGCTCTTCCCAGCTTTCACTAGTTTTGAGCTAGAACTAATTGGGAATTGTAAGGATATAAAGCCTTAAATTTTAGCACTGTTCAAAGAGTTTTAAAAATCAATTAAATTAAACAGTTAATTGTATTATTAAGTAATTGTTACTGGAATCATTTAATAAATTCTTTTTTTTTTTTTTTTTTTTTTAGTGCATAGGGGCGTTTGAAGAGAAGGAGGTTGAAAAGCCGGCTGAGTTGCTTGCCTAGTTGAAAGCCGGTTTCGAGAGATCCCTGCGTGCATAAAGAAGTGGTTACTTGAGTGGCTCGTTGCAGTTTGCCGGTCACTTCATGTGAGTAAACCATATGAGATTGTCCAGAGGTGTCGATATAGGGAGGTAAAAAGGTGTAAATATGAGTCTCTTAATAATTATAACATTATATTGGACTGTCTTATTAAATGTCTTAAATATAATCATATAAATATAACAAACATGGGTAACCTTTAGACTGGTTTACAATTAATTTTGTCAGCTGATAAAATCTAATTAAAAAATGTGTTCTTTTTTTTGTTATCTACCTGATAAATCAATAAAAAAACTGGAACTTAAATGTATGCTAAAATGGTTTTTTAATACAGACTATTGTCTTTAATTAATATGAACATTTATAGGAAGGTTCAGGTTCAGTATTAAGTTAATATATATATTTTTTATATTTTTAAACTTAGTCTTCACAGTATTTAATTTATTTTATATACCCCTTTAATCTACGCCTTTTGAGCTAAGGTATTTCTCTTCCTTATTTTTTATTACAGGGTTTCTGCAATCTCCCTGAACACCCTTATTACTACTACGTCCCCCGCCTGTAAGTTTTGATTTTCTCTTCCTTAATTACATTTTTCTCTTCTTCTGCTCTTTTTCGCGATCATTTTGCAAGTTGTCTCTCTTTGGTTGCACTTGAAATTGAATTTTGCATTTCCCCCGCTGGCAAATTTAGTGGCACACACTTTTCACATAAATTCAACTTGTCTATTTTAGTACATATTTTCATATTTTACCAGAAGTACATAGTATGTGCCACAGAGTCTCTCGCTCGGATGCTGTTTTGTAATTATAGTTTGTTGGTTTCAGCGGATGTCGTTCGGGACCATTTAAATTTTTTAATTTATGCGGGCGACTTTCCATTTTTCTCGGGTTTTAAGGTGTGGGCCAAGTCGGGAATATGATTTAAGGGGATTTAAAAATAAAATGGGTTACTAACTTAAATATTTAAGGAATTCATAAATAGGAAATATAATTTAAATAACAATTATTGAATTTATTATTGGTTAAAGAACGCATTTTTGTTTTTATATTTATTACATTTTTATACCCTTGCAGGGTATTATAATTTCAGTCAGAAGTTTGCAACGCAGTGAAGGAGACGTTTCCGACCCTATAAAGTATATATATTCTTGATCAGCATCAACAGCCGAGTCGATCTAGCCATGTCCGTCTGTCCGTCTGTCCGTCTGTCCGTCTGTCCGTCTGTCCGTCTGTCCGTCCGTCTGTCCGTCTGTCCGTCCGTCTGTCCGTTTCTACGCAAACTAGTCCCTCAGTTTTAAAGCTATCTGAATGAAACTTTGCATATAGTCTTCTATATACTCTCACTGTTATATATGTCGGAACGGGCCGGATCGGACGACTATATCATATAGCTGCCATACAAATGTTCGATAAATTTTTAGAAAAAAATTGTAACTTGGCTGTTTTTCAATATTATTCCATCATTTTTGAGATATAGCTTTTTATATTATTCCAGAATTTTTGTAAAAATTTTATGAAAATCGGACCACTATATCTTATAGCTGCCATAGGAACGATCGGGAAATTAATGAAAAAAATTATAACTTCGTTGTTTTTCAACGTATTTTAATCTACTTTGACACATGAGCTTCTGGTATTATTATAAAATTTTGGTATAAATTTTATGAAAATCGGACGACTATATCTTATAGCTGCCATAGGAACGATAGGGAAAGTAATAGAAAAAATTAAAACTTCGTTGTTTTTCAACGTATTTTCATCTACTCTGAGATATGAGCTTTGCTTATTATTATAGAATTTTGGTATACATTTTATGAAAGTCGGACAACTATATCATATAGCAGCCATAGAAGCGATCCGTAGATGTAGAGAAAATGTAAAGGTGGGAATGTATAACTGTAACTGTCAAACTGTAAACATAATAAGTATAGGTAAAATGGTATGTAACTCAGTTTAGAGTCTGTTTTCGGCATTATAATTTATAATATAAATATGAAAACCAATCTGCAAGGGTATACCAACTTCGGCGTGCCGAAGTTAGCTTCCTTTCTTGTTTTGTTAAAAATACTTACATTTTATAGATTTTTATTAAGAGTTTACATTATAGTTAATATTAAAAAAATAAAGATATTATATAATATTTATACACAAATATTTAAATATTTATTCAATGAATTTCAATGCTTTTTCTGGTTATTTCCATCATCAAAAATCATTTCTCGACTGCGTGTAGCCCAAAGAAAAATATACAATTATTTCACAGGTTTCACAAGCTGAAAGTGGAAAGGTACCGCTGATTCCTAATGTCTAGACAATTGGCTAGCAATAAAAAAAAACCACACAGAACCGGCTGATTTCGTAGCATAATTAATAGAAAAGTCAAAACAGAGAACCACGCGCCCACAGCAACAAAAACGTGCAAAACGTCTGATGAAACCAGCCGAGCAATCTAAATCAGTCGGGCCACATTTTACTATCGGTAAAATTTAAACAAATTGTAGAACCGATTAGAGCATGTTTTACCTTAGTATATACTATAGACGACTAGTTACAGGCCTCTGGCAGTGATTTAAATTTAGACACAAGGCGCGCGACCCGCCTTATCAATGCAGAGCCCGCATCGAAGAGACCTCCTTGAAATACATTCACCCGAAAGATTGCCACCGAAAAAGTGCTGATAAACTGCGCAGCATAAACTTAAAACATAAATATAGAACTGGTTTATTTTTGGGACGCGACACAAGACAGACAGATCGCTGCAGAGTGATCGCCATGCCGTAACTGACCTAGAGCACCTGATCGAAGCGTGATCGCGGAATGAAGAAAGAAACCCCAGAGGCGGAGGAGGATGTGGTGACCACTACTTGGATTTGTTTACTTTCTGCTTGCCAGCTTTCTAATAAATCATAATTAATTAAGGTGGTTATCTATATAAACAAACATAAAGTGAATGGAAATGTAGGGATACATGAATTTATTATAATTTATTTATTTTTCCAAAAATTGGTTTACTTAATACTTGTAATGGATTTTTTATTATTAAAATTATTAGCTTTAATTAATTAAATTTAATAAATAATAAAAAATACAACCCCCCACCTACATGACACTGCTAGAATTTCTTTTTTGGCAAAAGACTTTCCTTTGAGAATATACCTCTTCCGCTGCGGAAACGGATAAAGTCGCAAAAAAAAGAAAGAAAATATCTACTATAAATAAACTAACAAAATTTGCCAAATTAAAGAAGCCTTTACCATTTACCAATCCCGGGGTCACAGGCATTCAAACCCAAGATTGATTTTGTTGCGTGTGTTTTGCTCACAATGCGATCGCGTAATTTTCCATTGCAACTACAGTGGCGATCAGCATTAAAATAAACTTAATTATGCGATTTATTATGCAAATATATACACGCGCGCACACACTTTTATAGAAAGCTATATACATTTTTTTTTTCAGGCAAACAGCAGCCGCATCTGAACCCGACCACAACTGATCACGTTTTCGCCGGCTGCCACAGATAATCTCGGCAGGGCGATAGTTCCATTGACATCGCCAGACGGGCCCGGCTCTACAAGTCGCTGTATCTATATATGTACATATATAGTAGAATAAGTATATGTATATGGAGTAATTATCTGGGCGCCAACGCCATACCGTCTGATATCGCGTGTCGGTCTGCTGATAATGACCATAAAAACCCCGCCGATTGAGAACTCCCCAAACAAAATCCTAAAAATAGGCAGACGAAACCTCTTCATTATTCCCATGTTAATCACCAAACAAACAGGAGAAGGGTGCCCACTTATCAACATCTGTTTGGTGCGGAGTCTAGACCCTGAAGAGTTTCAACAAGTCGAGTGTTTACTGTGCCCTAATGTGTTTGAATTTCAATTGCGTTTTGTAATACCCATCGGCAGTTTGGTGAAGTAATTAGCAAGAGACACCTTGACTTGTTGGAAAGAGAAAGAGAGAATTTCCAAGGGGTTTTAATTACTTTTACTTGCCTTAAAGAAGGGGGAATGTATATAGGTTTTTATATATTTTATTACCTTATCTTATCATATCTTAGATTTAAGGTTTTAAAAGCTTAAGCGATAATTTTTATTTGATAAAAAACGGACTCAAAAAGTAGGTTGTAGTAGATTTCTTTTGTTTATTTTATTTTTATTTAATTAACTATTATTTCTTTTTATCTTTAAATAATGTTTTCAAGACTTGATTAAGTTCAAAAAATAAACACCTGCCTAATATAATCAACAGCAACAACTGCTAATTGACAGGTTCCAAATTGCATTATTGTACCTGCCATCTGATCAAATATATTTGCATAATTTTCAGCTACCTGATAAGCAATTAAATAAACAATAAACCGAATGTTTTAAGATGTGGCGTGATTGAATTTTATTTTTAGTTCACTTAAAAACCAAAGTATGTACTCAAGAAATGTGCTTTGCTTTTATAAACAAATATTTATTCTTGTTTATTTTGTATATTCAACAAGAGGATGCCTTGAAAGTGCTTAATTTTTTACTTTAATTATTTATTTGATGTCCAAACCTTTTTTTTTTAATTTTCAAATAATAAAAACAAATATTTCCCTATGAAAAAACGACCTCAACTAAACAATTCCGCCTTTCTTCGCGATCACAGATAACTGTAAATAAAACCAATGAACATCATTTCCTCAACCCGCGCCATTTTCCCCGCTTATGTTGATTAATAGTTCCGGTTTATGGGACATTAAAATAAAAGTAAGAGAGAGAGAGAGAGAGGAGAAAATAAAAACAACCTCAAAAATATGCTCAAACATTGTATTCAATGTTAAATGCGTGCATTGCACTGCCAGATACAAATGTATCTGTAGATGGGCCCCCATGTATCTCAAAGTGTGCATGCAGCTCTGTGTGTCTAGATACAACTAGAAACGCATAGACTAGTTTGCAATTTACATGGCCGTCGAATGAGTCAGTCTGTGGTGGGACTCCTGAGATTTCTCAGACAGAATCGCTTGAGTTTTGTGTATCTAGAGGAAATTTTCACAGGTCCAACGAATGCGCACTTTGAATTTTTGGCAACAATTTTGATTCAATTAACCTTCCATTTGGCGGAGAGGTCAGTCTGCAGTCTTGACTAAAATCGGTTGGCTTTTCATCATTTATGTATGATTTTTTTTATATCATAAAATATATTTCGGAGTCTGTAGTTTGTCTAGGTTCTTGGAGGGGTCGTTGAACTCAATGTAGAACTTTATGGAGAAAATATTTGCAAACAAACTTGAAGCACTTGAATTGTTTATTTTGGTTTCAAATTCCTTTCATGCAAGCGAAAATATGTTTGTATTTCTTGGATACCTTGTATAGTAGTGGAACAAGAGGCTTTTTAATAACAATTAATAATAATACAAATAATTCAAAAGCCAAAAAAATGTAAAATGAAATATAAAATCGTTGAAATTGGATTTACGGAAAAAAGAAATCAATTTTTACTTTCTACAAAAAAAATCTTCATAAATTTAACAATTTATGTGTTTAAATTAAAGAGTAATATTACCATCTCAGTTCAAGATTTTTCAGAGAAACTTTTTTTGAGCAACTCCCTGGATCATTAAAAATATTTGTTAACTTGTTATATTTAACGAGTCGCGTAGGTCTCAACTGGGTCACCTTTTGGCTTATCAATGCCTGAACGTCTTTATAAAAAAAAATAAAGGAATATGTAGGAATGCAAGGTTTGCTGGACAATGGCGATTGTTTGAATACCCTGACAAAAGAGCTGAGATCGAAATAAATTCTGAAATATCCGCATAAATCTGAAATATATCTCTGAGATACTTAAAAGTTTGTTTATTACAGGAATTTTAAAAAATATATCCTCTTTTCAGAGTAGTTACAAAGTCGTATTGGTTCAGAATTTTTTTTGCAATTTCATAGTGTATTTCGCACTGATAATCATTAATATACCTTACATATACAGTGGCGAGCACAACTGAGTGTATGTTCACGATTTTAACTTTGGCCATCAATAAAAACCAAACCACACAAGCAAATCCAACAATTTTTTTTTTATAATGTTTCTTAATTAATTTTTAGTTATTTTAAGAAAGAAACAGCAACTTAAAAAATAATTTCAAATTTTTAGAATAAAAAAACGAAATAAACTCACATAAACTCAATTTTGCACGTTTTACCTACTTGTACCTCTTTTCGCTTTCCACATCTTTTATAAACTAAATTTTATGTTTTTTGTAAAAGATCTAACTCTATAATTGTTCAGTTCTATTTTTGGTGGTTGTAGATCAGTTTAAAACGTGTTTTTGAAGACCGAAGCTGTTTTTGGTAAAAAATGATAAAAATATATTGATAAAAGCTCAAAAATTTCAACATTTTCGCGATAAATTGAAAATAATGTTGTAAACCTGACAAATAGTGGCAGTTCTACTCATAAAATCGCCAAAGAACTTGGTATTTTCCAATTTCCATTCAGAAAAGCCGAAAACTGACCCTTAAGCCTCAAGTCGTTGGCCGGAAATAATTATTAAAGTACTCAGGTGCTCATCTAATATTGTCCCAAATGCTAAATAACAAGCTTTTAATGCCAAAGGGTGCTTGTCTGACCATAAACAAAAATATGTGTACATGTAAATTTCCACTATGCCACTATGCAAACCATTATATTTTCTTTACATGGCTTTACATGGTTTCTTTGAGTTCGATCGCCTGGTCGAATTAAACAATACTGTTTTTCATCACTGTCAAAACGGTAAAACATTAACTCATCAGACTAGTCAACTTGTTTTTAATCGTCAATGATCCAATTAAGGTGATTTTTAGTTAATTTTAAACTATCGTTGGCATTCTTATTGGAAAACGCAGGCTTATTATTTTTTACGCTCGATATGTATCCGATGTCCTGCAATGCTCTTCTAGCAGTCCACTTGCTGACATTTTTGTTTATGGTCAGAAAAGCCCCCTTTGGCATTAAAAGCTTGTTTTTTTGTATTTTAGACAATATTACACGAGCACCTGAGTACTTTAATGATTATTTCCGGCTAACGTCTTGAGGCTTGGGGGTCAGCTTTCGACTTTTCTGAATGGAAATTGGATAATACCAAGTCCTTTTGTCACTTTTACGAGTATAACTGCTACTTTTTGTTAGATTCACAACATTATTTTCAATTTGTCACAAAAAATTTGGAAAATTTCGGGCTTTTATCAAAATATTTTTATAATATTTTGAAATACAGCTTTGGCCATCAAAAACACGTTTTAAACTGATCTACAACCACCAAAAATAGAACTGAACAATTATAGAGTTAGATCTTTTACAAAAAACATAAAATTTAGTTTATAAAAGATGTGGAAAGCGAAAAGAGGTACAAGTAGGTAAAACGTGCAAAATTGAGTTTATGTGAGTTTATTTCGTTTTTTTATTCTAAAAATTTGAAATTATTTTTTAATGTCCTGTTTCTTTCTTAAAATAACTAAAAATTAATTAAGAAACATTATACAAAAAAAATTGTTGGATTTGATGGTGTGGTTTGGTTTTTATTGATGGCCAAAGCCAGAATCGTAAACATACACTCAGTTGTGCTCGCCACTGTATTTGTATAATTATATACACTCGTGTTTAAATATAAATTACAACAGACTTACTGCGAACACGATTGTAAAATAGGAACAACAAAAATAACGAACATTATCAAAATAATCAACAGGAAAATGCCACTGAAAATTTTCCATCGAAACCGGCCTTTTTTATATGCGCAAAAATAAAGTTCAGTGAAGTTCAATGGGTTTATCTGCTGCCCCATTTTTTTTACAAACTATTTTTGTAACTAATTATAAATAATGGTAGCTAGTTAAGTATATTTTTAAGGCAATCACGTTCCTTAACATGTGACTTAAGACAGATAAAACAATGGTCTGATGGTCAGATATAATATATGACTTTTACTTGATAGGACAACTCTTTGTGGAATTTACAAAAAGTACAATAAAAGTGAAGCAACAATTTGCGGCAATAGTAATTGCTCTAGTCTTATCTGATTAGTTAACGCCAACACTAATCAAGTTGTAAATGAATAAAATAAAACAAACCAAAAATAAGCTTTTCATCAAGTTGATTTTCCTTTTCTTCTCGCCAATTTGCAAATATTTTTCACCGCCAACGCAGATTTTTAGGAAAATAAAACACCTGGCTACACAGTGAAAAAAGAAAGTGTTTCTTATTTTCAAAAGAAATAACAAAGCATAGATTATATTTATATATAAATTAAGATGTATTCATTAATTAAAATAATTTGTATAAGCATGAAAATATAACTCTTAAATATTTTTGAACCTAATAATAATTATAATTGCATTTTTTAACCTTTGAAAGTGTTCTTATAAACCTTTTTTTTTTTATAAACCTTAAATATTTCAAAAAGTTTTAAATTACAAAAAAAAAAATATTTATGACTTTAAATCCGCAATGTTTTTCTTTTATTTAACCATTCTTCTTCCCAAATTTTTCTCTTCCCTTGACGACTTGTCTAATCGGAGCGTTGATTAGGAGCCAGTTTGCTTTGTGGCGCTCTTTGGGGGGGGAGATTAAATTGTTGTTGCCAGCCAGTCGTGCGACTAACTAAAATAGCTAAAATAAAAAATTTACTGCCGCCCCACTTCCCATCTTCCTTCTCCTCCTTGTCAATGTTAAGTTCAATGACTAAATTTTAATTTTCGTTCTTGCTTTTTTGTTTGATTTTTGTTGCTTTTTGTTGGTTTTCCTCGAGAATCTCTGGACAAACTTTAATCAGCCCCGGTACCCAAGCCCCTTATCAGCTCTACTGTGATGGCCTAGTTTCTTCATCATTTTTGTGGAAGATGGTGCAAAGGGGAGGAGGTTGTAGAGGTGCGAGCTCCGGGGGAAGGTCAATTAATAAATTTAATGAACATGAATAATGCATATTGAAAAGGGAGCTACATAAGCGGGGGAAAGTCCGGTTTGTTGATACAAAAAATATATTTTAGGTTTTAATTATATTTAAAAAAAAAGAACATAAAAATGTTGATAAGTTTTAAGAAATTACTTATCATTTTAAAATGCTTAAAATCAAAATAAGAAAGAGATTTTATAAGATATATTTAAGGGGTTATATACAGTTGTGATAGTCGAAAAAATCGATTTTTTTTTTATTGCATATTCTTAAAGTATATACTGTTGAGAATACTCTCACAAAAATGCATAACGATCAGAGCATTAGAACCGAAGTTGTAGCTATTTATAGCGCACGACCTGCACGTCGGCCGGAACAAACTTGAAACTTTAAACGCGATTATCTCAGAATCGTTTTTTTTCGAAGTTACCTTTCCCGTGGACACGATTACTAAAAAACTATTAATCCGATCGACACCAAATTTTGACCACCTATTTATTATCTCAAAAACTAGTCCGTGAACGAAGGATTTTCAATTTTTTTGAAAACTTCTTTTTTAGAGCATAAAAACCGAAAATTTTACCCTTTAAAAAGGACATTTTTTGTTAAAATCGTCGCCATTTTTTTTTATATCAAAATTTTTACAAATCCTTCGTTCACGGACTAGACAATTCAATATACTAACGAAATTTTTTTGAATTTTTGATTTCTGATGAACCGTTCTCGGGATATGATGTCCACCGCAAGTCACTATCGGAAAAAGAGGGTATTTGAATTCGGCCATAACTTTTTTATTAGTTAATATATTTTTATAAAAAAAATTTTAATAAGTACCCAGAAAGATGCACCATACAACGCCGGTAAAACATTTTTAATAAATATTCTTTATGGTGTCAAAAAAAAAATCGACAAAACTTCATATTTTTGCGCGGTACAACTGTATATAACCCCTTAAGGTACTTTATTAAAATACTATTTATTTAATACTATTTTTGCCTTTTTTGTTTACCTTCTTTATGATTTTATTATTTTTTTTATTCTTATTTTTTGTATTGGCAATTTCTTGCGCTCATTTAACAACAATTCTGCCTTCTTGGTGGTCTAAAATTCCCGAAAATAAAATATTTTTTATGCCGTAAATGAGAATTCTAAATAGAAATCTGTTGTCTCCGATAAGAAGAGCCTTAAAATACTTGATTTGTTTTGCTGCATTCACCTATATATATATATATATATATAAAGGCAATCGCAATGCGACTTAGCTTGGACATGAAATGGAGGTACATATGTACACCTGAGGCACCTACTTAGGGCCTGATCGATCGATCGACTGATCAGACCTAGTTCCGCTTGGTGGAGGTCAACAGATCAGCAATCGAAGGCTTTAAATAGACACTCAAGGCGTTACCAAATCCTAGGGTATTTTTAGAGAGAACTTTGCCATCCGGATTTTGTTATTGAACCGATTTCAATCCTAAACCCGCCCACCTAATCAAAACTGATAATCGTATCAAGGGCCTGGTGCTCTAGCAAAAATCAAAAACCCCAAGATGGGTCGGGTCGGTCTCCCTCCTCCTCCCAAGTCTGGATTTGGCGCCGCTGTCAAACCGGCTAGCGAAAATCGCTCACGTTGCACGGATCCCCGGGCACTATCAGTCAATAATTTAATGATTTCGAATTTAGATTTGTGGCCAGGCTGCGGCGATTAGTTAACATTTGTTTTCAGCGTGTCCACCAGACAGATGAGATAATTAATCCCGCATGCATACGGGCCCACATACACACCCTCCCAGCATCGTCCGCCCACTTTTCACCGCCCAGTTTTGTAGTATTTATAGGCAAGGTCTATGGGTCTACGATCGGGCTCCGATTCCTGCCTGGAATATGGCTGCAGAAACCTAGACTAGATCAGCGGATGAACGATAGATAGAGCTGGCTTCTAAGGGCCTCAAAGGGGTGTGTTTTTCAAATTCAAGCTTAAGAAGAAATGGCACACAAACAATTTATAATCGCGCGCTCGATCACACGATCAAAGTTTTAATTTTATAGTACAAATAAAAATGTAATTCTTTAAAATCATTTCTTTCACAGCGGATCATGCATTTGGCAAGTAAATTATCAAATAAATTTATTTAGTCCAACAACTCGCCAAGCCTTGGTTGAAATTTATATTTATATGTTTTTCCTTACAAATAATTAATGTAATGTTTACATTAAAAATAGCTTCAGAAATTCGGACAAAATTAAATCGACTAATTCAAATCTAAATTTCGCAGGCGCCATTTCGTTCAGTTTTAACATAAACTGCTTGGCGACAGTGCTGTTAGCGATTACAATTGGTGCTGTTAAGCGCATAACCCAAACAACAATATGATAGCCGATCCATTTTTTGGAAAATTTTATTACTGAAATATACGAGACTTGGTCACACTTAAGCTATTCTGCATGTTGGTATATTTTAATATATATTTTTTTGAATTCTCTCGAAAACATGCAGCCTGCTTACAATAATATTGCCTGGTAAGTTTACTTATAATTTATGATCAAAATAACAATAGTAACTGAGAATTCCCTGTCAAGGTCTGATGAACTCAAATATTATTCATCCGATTTAGACTAAACATATGAATGTAGATCATTGAAACAATAATTTTCTTAATTTTGGTTACAATAAATACATTTGTAAATAGCCGCTAGATAGTTTGTGTTGTGCATTTACTCAAGAAGACAAAACTTGTAGAGAACTGAAGTTCCTCGTAAATCAGGTTTCGCTATTTTTTATATAATTTACGAAAGTAAGTTTTTGTATTCCAAAACATCTGCAAAACATACATACGCAGTTTTATAAGTTCAATTTAGCGCCGAAGCGCTTTTACACATTCCACCGGTATACTTAAACATACGAGACTTGGTCACACTTCAAAGATTCTGCATATTAGAAGCTGGAGACTTTTGGAAATTTCAGAATTTCTTCAGCAGTACGTAATGGATGTGTATTCATATGGACAAATTTTTCCTGCATGCCAAGATATTGCATGGTAAGTTTACTTATAATATAAAATCAAAATAACAATACTAATTCTGAGAATTCCCTGTCAAGGTCAAGGCGAGGAGCTTTTCTGCTGAAATACGGAGTTTTTGCGGATGTGTGCGTTCGCATTGATGATTCTAGCTTTTCGTGCCACAAGATCGTATTAGCCAGCGCTTCCGAGTTCTTTGAGAGATTGTTTAAAAATGATGGCTTACAAACGGGAGAGGTGGTTTTAGAGCAGCCGACCCCCAAACTTTTTAAAATATTCCTCGACTACATATACACCTGGAACGACAAGCCAATGCAGAATCTTACCTTTCAAGAGCTGTGTTGTCTTCTGGAGAATTCACATATGTGGATGGCCGTTGAAGTTAAAAATACATGCGAAGAAATGATATTGGACCGATGCTCTACGGAGCAACCAAAAGAATTAATTCAACTTTATAAGACGGCTTACCTTTTGGATTCTTATCCAATAATGATAAAAGTCATTGATGTAATTGAATTTTATTTTCTCTTCCCAAGACTTCAACCAGTAAATATTTACTAATATATTTTTTTTTTTTACCTTATAGCTAATGCAGAAACATCCAATGGACCAGCCGGAAATCTATGACCTGGATATCGACTGCTTTATAGAGTATATGAGGCATACTCGATGTGATTGTAGTGAAGCTAAACGTTTCAGAATTGCGGAGATGTGGATAGAAAAAAATCTTCCTGAACCAGATCCCTTATCGGAGGAGGTGGTTCGCATTTTACAAATCATTTGCTTTCAAGCCATGCCACTCGAAGATTTTTACCATGGCCCTGGAAAGTCGAAGCTATTGGCCGATTCAAGAAAGGTTAAAATCATATATAAAATTGCCAGTAAATCCTCTGATGCATTCTGTTTGTATTCATCCGATTCAGAATAATTTGATTACGACTATTTCTACTTGTACTTGCATAAGTACCCAGCCATAAAACCAAACATATAAACGTAGATATATGAAACCAGGTTTGTTTTTAAGTTTAAACTTAATATAAAATATGTTTAAGCAGAAGTCAAATACATAAATTTAATTTTCTTAATTTTGGTTATAATAAATACATTTATAAATAACCGCTAGATAGTTTGTGTTGTCCATTTTCTCATTTTTTTTTAAATATAATTTACGAACGTAAGATTTTGTATTCCAAAACGCCTCCGATGCCGATCAGGATCAGGATATCTGGAAATAAAACCTACATACTTTTATAAGCTCAATTTAGCGCCGAAGCGCTTTTACACATTTCAGCGGTTTATTTAATCTTACGAGACTTGGTCACACTTTAACGATTCTAAATATTGGGGACTTTTGTCAAATCTTATGTTTTATTTTTGGAGTTCTCTCAAAAACATGCAGCCTGCAACCGATAATATTGCCTGGTAAGTTTACTTATAATTTATGATCAAAGTAACAATAGTAACTCTGAGAATTCTCTGCCAAGGTCAAAGCGAGACGCTTCTCTGTTGAAATCCGGAGATTTTGCGGATGTGTGTGTTCGCGTTGGCGACTCAAAATTTTCGTGCCACAAGATCGTTTTAGCCAAAGCTTCCGAGTTCTTTGAGAAATTGTTTAAAAATGATGGCTTACAATCGGGAGAGGTGGTTTTAGAGCAGCCGACCCCCAAACTTTTTAAAATATTCCTCGATTACATATACACTTGGGACGACGAGCCATTGCGGCATCTTACGCTTAAAGAGCTGTCTTGTCTTCTGGAGAATTCAAATATGTGGATAGCTGTCCAAGTTGAAAAGACATGCGAAGGAATTATATTAGACCGATGCCGTTCGACGGGATCTAGAGAATTAATTGAGCTTTATAGGCTGGCTCATCTTTTGGATAAGAAATCAATAATGGACAGAGTCATTAAGGTGATTGTATTTTCTCTTTTTATGTCTTCAACCTTTAAATGTTTACTAAATTGGTTTTACTTTATACATATGTAGATAATGCAGAATAACGAAATGGACCACTCGGGAATTTATTATATGGGGATTGACTGCTTCACTGAGTATTTTAAGAGCACTACTCAGTTAAATGAAAGTAAACGCTTCAATATGGCGGAGAAGTGGATATTAAAAAATGTTTCACCAATAAGGGGATCATATTATTCTATCAACATACCTTCAAATTCTGAACCAGTTTCGGTAACGGGGAAGGTGACTCGAATTTTGGAAAACATAAGATTTGAGATTATGTCACTGGATGCATTTTACAATGGCCCTGGAAAGTCAAAGCTATTGGCTGATTCAAGAAAGGTTGAAATCATATATGAAATTGCCAAAAAAGGCTGTCATTATTGCCATCGTTTCTAATTTAATTGCGGCTCTTATTTAACCAGCCATTACAAAAAAATAAATATTCATTAAGCTAGATGAAAAAATATGTTTAAATGTTTCAATAAAAAAATTCATAAAAATTGGTCAACATGAAAAATAATTATTAATAGAAGTTGTGTAAATACTTTTGTCGACCCCTGTATAGATATTTTACATGCTTCTCTTACGTGTAAAATTGAGTCATGAAAATTACCAGATATGCTCAGTTACGTAGTTTGATTACGTTTCTTAAGTATGACCAAAATCTCCCCTTTTCAGTGTAATAAATACCGTAAATGGTGGGCACACTGTTGAAAAAACTGAAGAAAAACAATAACATTTCGCAATTTGTGATAAACAAAAGCAATTTAAACACTTTCCGGCTAGTTTAGACCCCGCAAATTAGAGTAGCAACAACATGGTAAGTGGTTTTAAAGAAAAGTACGCCGAATTAGCCGCTCGCTTTGCAATCTTCGAGTTTATTTAGACACTGAAACTGATTAAAAGAGGACTTTCAACATTGTTTTTGGCTGTTCATACATTTTTGGCGGAAACCGAGAAAAGCCGAGCGAACGAAACTTAGTAGTCGGGCAAAAGCGGCGGCTCCGGCGACCGCTTGCCGCCCCAGGAATGGAACCTCTGCTTCTTGCCCAGCACCACGGAGTTGCGTTTCTCGTCCCGCTGCAGTTGCGATTTGATGCGGCACCTCTCGATGACCGCATCCCTCACGATCGTGGCGAACTCTGCATCGCTGAACTGGGCCATCAGCAGGCGGAAGAAGGCCCAGATTTCGCCGCGCTGCGATGTGGGCGGTGGTGCATAGTGGCGGAACAGCCATCCCGCCTCGTCTGTCGTGTCGATGGTCGCGCTGGGTCGCGAATTGTAGGCATCGCACACGTCCTCAAAGCTAAGGATTGCCTGCAGGATGAAGCGACGGTATTTGGATAGCTGCAGCTCGCAGGTGCCCAGCTCAGGATCCAGACCGGCAACGACTCCGGAGGCTGGCAAGCCGCTGCTGGCTCCATCTGTGCCGATGGCCAGGAACAGGATCAGGATCCACAGGGGCCAAGTCTGCATGGTGGAGCACACACTCTTTTAATTGCTAACTGCCGGGCAGGAACTGTGCCGACTCCTAATCCTCACGGGCAACTGCGATGGCTACCGTCGCGCTGCTTCGCTTATATAGCCAACCGATCCGCCACCCACAACTTTGAAGTCCATAAAATAATTATAAAACGTTTGTCGTTCGCATTTTCTAAGCCGTTACACACGTCGCTAAATAAATACGAGTGCGTATTAATAAGCGTGGCAACGTTTCGTCTCCGTTTCCCGTCTCCCCCGTATCCTTGCTACTTACTTTTCCCGCCAGACAATGAACGGCAACAAGTGTCATAAATTTTCACTCGCTTAACTCGCTCGCTCGCGCCGTCCTCTACCCTTCCGCCAAAGTTGCGTTTATTAATCCTGGCCAGAGATAAACGTGACATGCACTTGAAACTGAGACGGAGCTCCACAAACGCGGCCTTCCTTATATCCTGGAAATGTAAAGCGCCCACCACCACCCATCCAACCCTTTTTTTTTTTGTTGTGCTTGTCGCCACTTGAACAAATTGCTCGCTGATTAGCAGGCAAGCGTATGAAATTAATCATATGCAAATATCGTCCTCGACTTTCGTGGGAGTTCTTGGGAATACATCACATCCTTGGTGGCCCATCCCAGTCCTAAAGGGTGTCATTAGTTTTGCTGGCAAGTCCGAGGCGCTTATCAGTGACCCAAATTATGGTTCTCTTTGAATGAGGTCCTGGACCAAGAGTTAAGGTCATGAAAATAGTTGGAGAAAACTTGTACAATTTTATAAAAGAAAACATATATAATATATATATATAAAATCTATAGAATTTGTTTTTGTATTGCTAATAACTTAGGTTTTCTTACAAAATATTTAAAATTTCCTTTCTCGAGAGAGATGATTTATCCTTAAAATATTAGACACAGTTTTATCTTTCATTTTCTATTTTGAGTTACATTTTTCCAGGGTATTCTCAGCTCTCATTCTGTCACTCCTTCCATTTCCTAAGAGCTCTTCATTTGCCTCGAGAGCCCACTTGTTGAAGTCACTCTGGTCTTTAATTTACTCGAAAACGTGATGGGTTAACTTCGGCGTAGGCGTCTGCTTTTGTTTGCTTTTGAAATGGCAAACAGTAAATTAAATTATTTCCCTATTTCCAATGAAACTTCTCTCTCAAAAAAGGGTCTGTTATTTTTACAGAAATTTCGATTTTGTGGCGAAGGCGATTGCCCCGACTGGGTTCTGGCGGAGATTATATCCACACTCTCCAATCTGAGCATTGAAAACTTAGAGCAACTCAGCGAGCTGGTGGCCCAGCGCATATGCGGACAGTCATTTGAGGTAAAATATAAACATTAAAATAAAATTAAATAAAAAACAATATTTTACAGGAAGCCAAAATAAAATCCTTGACATCCACGCTCACGAATGAGGGTAAAACCGCCGTGGCCTGCATACATTTTATGCTCATCAATGCCGCTCGCTATAGCTGTACGGAGAGTATTTTTGGTGAGGAGATTCAGCAGCTGGGACTGCCCAAGGATCATGCCGCTGCCATGTGTCGAGTATTGCAGAAGCACAGTGCGGCCATACGCCAGACTTTGATAGATAAAGCTTTTAAAAGTAGGTGTTTGCGTGTTGATTTAGTCTTAATTTTTAAAATTGAGTGTTAAATTAAGTTCACGATCAAGGAAACTACATAATTTATTAATTTATTTACTTTATATTTATATATTTATTTAACTTTCAGTCAACGAACTGCAAAGCGTTCGTGATATAACCTCGCCCGGCGAAACGCCGCCAAATTGTACCACCTTAGAATTTAAAATCTCGCAAGAATTGGTTGATGGCCTGCCCAAGGACACAACGCATATCCTTAATATAGATCGCACGCAAACGAAAGCTCTGCTGGCAGAGCTCAAGCTGGCTCGTGCTGCTATGGAGAAATATCAAAATAAGCAAGATTCCTAGAAATGTGCATTTTATGAATAAATTGAATTTGGTATGTGGTTTTATGATTTTTTATTAATATTAATTTTATTGTTAAAATGAATATTTTAAAATATTTTTGTTTATAAGAAATACTTTCGATTAATGGAAAGGATATATTACAACATTAAAGATTATTATACTTTATAGTAAACACTTTTAAATAATTTCTGTAGGTTAATAAATTTGTTATTAATTTTTTTTTGTATTAATTCAAATGGTTTTAACTTTGTTTTTTAGCTGTTACAATAAGCTTGAGGACGAAAAGCTGGGAGCTTGAGGGGATGAATTAGAAAACTTTTCAAGAGCTTTGTGCTCCTTAAAGCTTAAGCTTAGAATCCTTAGACTTGAGTCATAGATGGCGACATTTAAAAAGGATTTTTGAATATAAAGCATAAAGAGTAGTCTATTTATATGCAACGATTCTTAGAATCTAAAATTATAAGGATTTTGCTTGAAATTATAAAAATGCTTCCTAAAAATGATTACTATTTTTTCTGGGGCTACAATAAATAGGAAATAAACCTTAAAAACTGTATTTGTTTTGGCATCATAAATTTGATATTAATTAAATATATAAGAAAAAGCTTTGAGACAATATGCCGCATTGAGAAAAGATGCCGAAAAGAAAGATGGGAATAGTAAAGCTGAGATAATATATATATACATATATATATATATAAATATAAATATAATATTTATGCAATTTTTAAAGAAATGTTTCTCCATTCTTTCATTTTTGAATGTTTTTAAAACTATCTGAAAATGATTTACATTTATTTTGTAATTTTCGTCTTATTTTAACTTAACTAAAAAAATCTCTTCTTCTCAACCCCAAAAGAAATGTACCCCATAAATGTCATCAAAAGCCAACCACAAAACGTAACCCTTTTCAACCGATATTTAACCCAAAAGCATGAGCTCTCATATCGCTCCATGAACTGTGTCAAATTTAATCAACTGCCTTCGTCGTCGTCCCCCTGCTGCAGCGCTTTTTTACTACCCATGCAGCCTGATTATTAATTATAGCATAACGTGCGGCGTAAATAAAGTGAAATTTGTTAATAAAAGACCCCAGAAAGTAACCCTTTTCGTGGAACGGGGCTGTGCTGTACACCTTGCTCTCTCCTGCTTTTCACATTTGCTTATCGTCTCCTCTGTTGGCCACGGCAATTACCGTCGCATCCTTTGGCCATTTTCCTGCTGCCTGGCCCGGTTATTAAAATTATCTGCAGTAGCTTCGGGATGGAGGTGGAAAAAAACAACAAAATTCAATTAAAAGTATACGGAAAAAATAGGAATAAATTAATTTCACTCTCTTGCTATGTTGCTCTTTCGGTGGATTTTCTAATTATGAGCTTTGGTCGCTGCAGCAGCTGCGGAGGTTAAAAGTCGCCTTCTTTTTATAGCAAATTCTGTTGTTTTTTTCAATTAAACTTGACCATGTCAAAAGTGAAAAAAGACGAAGAAAAGTCCGCGACATTTTTTGATTGCTGCGCTTTCTCTCCTTCTCTCTCTCTCTCTCTCTTGTAATTTTCCTTATTTTTTAATTTTATTTTTCTGGATTTTTTCCTGTTCTTGGCCACATGTTGCTGACACTTGCAGCAGTCGCTTGGCTCCTACACTTTTCCCCGCTCCTCGCACTTTTCTGGGAACTTTGATTTATGACGCTCGCTGGGAGAGAGAGAGAGAAATTTTCACAGCAACGCCCCTTTTGGCATTGTCACCTGTTCTTTAATTAAATTTCTCCTCAAGGTCCCAATGAACTGCTGCATTGATTTCTGTACACCCCAACCCACTTCTGTCCGTGCAAATATCATATCGCAGAGAAGGTAAATAAGTGCTCCACGTAGCTCTGTTCCAATTACCCCGGCAACTATTTACTCAGCATTTAGTTGGGGGGTCCTCCTTCTCCATCCTGCTCCCCATCCCCCCTTTTGGTTACGCAAAATGATATCTAAACATTTGGCGCAAAATTCGTGTAAACAAGGCGGCAATGTCAACAAAAATGGTTAACATCATATGGACAGGCGAGGTGAGAGGTAATTGGGGTTTTTCGGGGGGGAAACTTGTCAGTCAAAAAGAGTGGGGAGTTGATGCTTAACGGGGGGTGGGAAGAAGAGTTTCAGAATGCAGGATAAATGATTGTGAATAGGAAGTTCTTACAGTTAATAAACTATTAATATTTAATGTATAATTAATATAATTGCCTAAATATTACGTTTTTGAAAAAATTATATAAAATCTCGTATACTTTTCTTTAATTTAAACAAGTTTTTTTAAATAAAAATCAAAAAAATAAAATAAAAATCTTGATAAAAATAGTAAATTAATAATCCTTAATCTTCAATCAAATCTCTGTCATCAAAGTTCATAGCGACCCTCGCTAGTATCCTTTGCCAACCTGGGGACACCGCAATCCACAGCCGTCTGGCAACGCCCAAACATGTGTACCAACCGTTATGTCAGCAACACCCATCTTCCATCTCCATATCCACATCCATATCCATTCCCATTCCCATTCCCTGGCTGGAAATGCTGTCACATTACGCGCCTGTTACCATATCTTTACAACTGAATCTGCAGATCGTCCTCCACGCACTTGTACTATGACAAAGCACAAAACTTAAAAACCTTATGCATGTGATTTGAGGGCGATGAGGATACGAGACTGGGTTGGTGGTGTGGTGGTGCTGTTGTATATACTTTGTTTTTGGGGCGGAGAAGGACACAAGTGTCAGCCTTTTGTCTACGGTTTTGGTGGTTGCGTTCGGGAAATCCTTCCTGGCTTCCGTTCCGGTTTTTAGTTTCCCAACCCCTGCTATGATCTCTGCGAGTTATAGTGATATGCCTTGGGGTGGTGTCTCTATGGAGGGGAGAAAACAGCAACTTTTTGACTTTTTCAATTCGACTCTTCCGCTCTCCACGGGTTACCCTAGGCGTAATAATGAAATAAACGTTCCGCTAAATGCCTACGTATTTTGCACTGGGGGGGAAATGTCGTATTGTTCATCGGGGGGAGGGGGGAAGGAAGCTGCAAGTGGATCTCATTCAATTAATTCGATGGGATTTGGGTTTAAGAGGGTTTGGGAAATGAATCAAGTTAAAGGGGGGGAACCACAAATGGTACTAAATAGGTATAAGTATTTAACTGGTTTATTTATAAATGTGATAAAATATCTTAATTTTTAAACCAAAGTTTAATATTTTCTAATTTAATTTCAATTGAACCCAATAAAACCCCATAAAAACCCCTCATTGCAATCATTGTTGTACCTCATTTACAATTCAAAACTTTACTAAAAATATTTCTCAAATTGAAACCTTCTCTTTTCCTAAAGCAGCCAATCGAGTATTCATATGAACTGAAGATTTTCCGCTTTCCACACCTCCCTCCCCCTCCCCCCCCCACAACTGTTTGGTCACACCTGAGGGCTTGGCCCAAGTGCTGGTGGTGCTGCTCTGGTGGAGATTGACTGCTTCACATTAATCAGCGCATAAATTTAACGCATTATTATTTATGTTCCGCCCACTTGCGCACGCCCATCCCCGCGATTGTTTCATTTTCAAAATAGA